ACTGTCCTAGCCTCCCAAGTCTTCTCATCAATTCTCGCTATACCCTTATCAGGTGTACCACACGTACAAGAAGAAGAGACGGATCGGTTGAATTGATGCGGCAATGAACGAATCAGATTTCGTCCGAGGGAACCGAGTCTCCGGTCCGAACTTCTAAGAATCAGAAATTCGATTTCCTGTAACGTTGATCAGTTTTCCTTGCCGCGCGTGTATGAGTGCCTTACATTCACCCAGTTGCGTTTGGTTTTTGCGCGTACCTGATGAAACTCCTATATATAGTCGGTATTCTCGCGATAAAATTACAGCAGTTCCGAGAGAGGACGATGGTTAATCTTACTAAAAGTATAATTATTTCCAGCGTCGGCTGAAGGCCGCTTTCGAAATCCGTTTCGGAAACTTTGGTTCAGGAGGAGAGAGGAGAGAGAGAGGGGGGGAGGGGAGAGACAGAGGAAGAGAGGAGAAACAGAGAAAGAGAGAGGAGGGAGAGACAGAGGAAGAGAGGAGAGACAGAGAGAGAGAGGGGGGGAGACAGAGAGAGAGAGGAGAGACAGAGAGGGGGGGCAGAGAGAGAGAGAGAACGAGAGAGAGAGGGAGAGAGAGAGAGAGAGCCGGTTTAAAATAACACATTCGTAGTTTATTGATTTTCCTCGGGATTACCGTGCCCCGCCGATTCGCATTTGACGGCGTGTCAGTCCGCCGGACAATTCCTTTCGCGCGAGCTTCGCTCTGGTAAATGAAAAGCGTCAAACGAGCGGCGTGTTTACGCACACCCACGCCTGGCCGGTCGGCCGATCTTGACTATTGAGTTATGAACAGTTAACGGGATGTGCGCGCGTGTGTATGTAAGTCGAGTTTCCGCCTCGCGACTCGCGCGCTGTCTTCATCGGGCCTCGAGTGAAGACCTCGAGAAAGAGAGAGGAAGCGCGAGCATTTGCGCTTGGCTGATCATCGCTCGGGAATTCATCGCTGGCTACCGAGCACTTTTGGACGTGGGCAAAATCGACCCGCCGTGGAATCGATCGCGAGAGTGATATACTCGCGAGGGAGTCGTGTTTGTGTGTATTACACGTATGAAATTCGATAGAAACCGCGATTCCCCATCTGCGACTAAGCGCCTAAAGCCCATGTCACACTAGGGATTGAAGATCAAGGATTGCGGATTGAAGATTGAAATTTGACCAATCGGAATAAAGCAAATTAAAACCGAAGTTCGTTGATTTGTCGAAATCTAATCTTCATTCCGCAATCCTTGATCTTCAATCCATAGTGTGACATGGGCTTAAGGCTGGATTCTCGCTGCGTCCAAGACGCGGTGAGTTCTCCGTTAAGGTTTTCTCGAAGAGGGATGGTTGAGACGTGGGGGGGGGGGGCACGAATATTCGAGTGAAAAAGCACCGAAGGGTGCTTCCGACGGAATCTTGGACAGCTATCGTATAATTTTCTCCCGGGACGTAAACGCGAAGTGTGGAATCTCCGACGATGTGAATTTTCGAACTGTTAAAATGTGAGATTTTTTATATGGACTCTCTTGTCTCAAAGGCTGGCGAAATTTAATGAAAAAATTTAGATATTTTTGCAATACACAGTATATATGTATAACTTTTTCTGAAAACGAGTAATATCACATTCCAATTTGAGACGCTGATGAATCAATGTTCAGCGACTTCACTTTTCGCGCATCTAGTTTTTCGCACAATCATTCCGCAATTGTGGCAAGTAAGGTCCGCGGTGGGTCAGGATGAGCGGAGGAGTAAAATGTAAGAAATCCTCCAAGTTGTACGACCGCTGCCGCCGCTTAGACGGGGTTAATGAGAACCCAGCTTAATGCCCGAACGATGTATCGAGTGCGAGGCATAATAAACCGCACGCTCGCTCGTAAATCTCTTTCACCTTGTATTGGTATGCGAGCGAAATGGGACAGAGATACGCTTGCGCGCAGAGGTGACGTTGTGCGAAGCGTGGAAGTTGTTCCGTGTTAATTGTCGCAAGGAGAGGGAACCGCAGAAAAATACAGAATTCGTAAACGAGTGAATGTTGCTCGTTTCGAGTATTCCGTGAGTTTACACACTCGTAAGTCTGTCATAAGCTCATAAACATCAACTTCACTCGAAATACATTTTGTATCTTGCATGGAAAAAAAGAGACCGGTCGGGTATTGACGTGACGATGAAGGAAACAAACGTGTTTCAAGCCAAGGGAACAGAACTGCCGGTCTTTTCGATCTCAAAATCGGTTCGAAGAACCAAAAATCCTGTTTCCTTCAACAAAAACCCGTTAATCAATCCGAGCAATTCTTCGTACTTCGTGGAAGGGCTTTCTCCTGCGTGGCCCCCATCGCAGCCATATTGCATAGTGATATCAGAGACGAGAAATGACACGCCGGAAATATGTTTGCATGCCACCTCCAAATAAAAAGATATTTGTACGAAAGAGTACTTCAGGTTGTCAGAGCATACTTCTCCTTTGATAGCTCTCTCTCTCTCTCTCTCCCTCTCTCTCTCTCTCTCTCTCTCTCTCTCTCCTTTCCTTTCGTGCAAATATCTTTTTATGCGAAAGTGGCACGTAAGGACTTTCAGCGTGCGTTTCTTCGCTCCTGGACGTCACCGATCGAGATTCTCCGGTAGCGAGGGGCCAGCGGTGCGATTTTGTAACTCGTTAAACAGATAACGTTAGAAACCGTCGTTGAGAAAGAGAGAGGGGGGGGAGGGAGGGAGGGAGAGAGAGAGAGAGAGAATTCGTTAACGAGTTTCGTAGTTTACTCGAGCGACAGTCCGGGGAAAATAGTAAATCGCGTTAACTTCGACGTTCTCTTTGTTCGATGCGCGCGCGGCCCTTTTATCAGGCGTTCGTTATCAGCGCTGACTCGCGCGCAATCCGCTCGCGGAAGATCGTCTTGTTTTGCCAACGATATTCGTTGACTGCAATCATCGCTAATAACGCCGTGAAGACGGCTTCGTCCCGGCCGCTTTCGTCTACGTCCCCGTCGTTGCCACTCGGAATAATGATACGTGCTCTGACTCACACTCTCGCCGACCTCATGCCAGACCTTTGTTGCTGCCGCTGTGTAACCGCCATGACACGTGTAACCAGCACACACACACACACACACACACGCGCGCGCGCGCGCGCGCGCGCATGCATGTGTACGTCATCGTGTCGGTAATTTCGCCGATTCGTCATCAACGCGTAGAACCGCCGTCGAGAGGAGAGTTTACGTAAAACCGTTCGCTCGCTCGTTCTTCTTCGCGTCGGCTATTTGTATTTGATTTGTTGGTAAGATGCATTCGCGTGTCGTTCATGCCGGCGCGCGATCGTCTCGACGAGGGGATAAATCAATCGCCCGTCGAGAAGCAAATTCTCGCTGTGGGGATTAACCAGAGCAGACCCGGGGGATGTCAACGTTAATTCGTCGTGGACGTTTTCACGAAGGGTGACTCGATATTTATGCCGGGACCTGAATTTAGGCGTCGTGTGAAAACGTTGTCGTGCAAATACCGTAAGTAGTCGGAAGTCGAATATTAAAGAAAAAAATAAGAAAGAAACGCTGGGGAGAAGACTAGCGAATACCGTCGGCGGCACTTGGCTGGATTAACGCTAATTGCTCCCCGCGAAAGAATTCCGGCCTATTGTTCTATGAATGATTGTACTTCTTAGGAGACTGTTGTCTATGTGATCGGACATGGGGAGGGGGGGTCGATATTGCGCCTGTGTATGTGCTCGTCCACGACCGGTGACGTAAGAGCGGAAGGACTTCTTTATTGACCACGCTGACGTAAACATGCGTAAACGCGCGCGCTCTCTCGCGCGCGTAATCAATATTCAAATTATTTGCAAATTAGAGCGAATGCGTTCCCCCCTCCGCACGTGTTTTCCGCGAGGGCGACTCGTCGCGCGAGCTCTCGGCGTCGCGCTCATTATCGATCAATCGCGTGCGAGCACGTCGTGTGTGTGTGTGTGTGTGTGTGTGTGTGTGTGTGTGAGAGAGAGAGAGAGAACTATGGAATTTTTATTAAATTACTTTCTCCCCACGTATGTATATATAATCAAGTATTCTTTTATACAAACGTCTCTTCATTTGGAAATGGTAACGGCGAGAGTTTTTCAGAGTGTCATTTCTCGCCTCTGACATCATTACCCAATACGGTGAGCACCTGGAAGCCTTAAAACATGGTAGGACGCTTAGGACCGGTCGTTCCAACTTCTTGGTAAGTTAACTGACGGTTAAATCATACGTTTGTCTTTGTTTTTCCTTCAACTTAGGCAAGGACAGACATATGATTTAACTATCAGTTAATTTACCAAGGAATTGGAGCAACACCTGCCCTTAATCGTAGACGTAGAAAATTGGAAGAGGCATACGCAAGGTACACCGCCTGACATCCAGGCGCGTAACAGCAAAAGTTACAAAAGTTAATAACATATAGCATCGTGAACACATTTGCGATGAGAGCGGACGTGTCGACTGTTCAGCACTTATCATCCTGTCTATCATCCGCTCGGCTGCCCGAAGCCAGACGTTTTCGAGGGTCGCCGTAACCAAGGTTACTCTCATTTATGCGGGCGCGCTGCTTCGTCCTGCGCGACTGTAAGGCACGGAAATAACCGCCAATGAATTTCCCTTGAAACACGCCGAGGTGGAAGGCCCGAGCTTTGCCGCGGACGATGAAAAATTGTGTCGTAACAGACAAGGCATCGCGATAATTACTCGGGAGAGCGTCGCTCGAGCGATCTCTCTCCCTCTCTCTATCTCTCTTTCTCCCTCCATTGAAGAAAATTCCTCATTTATCAATTTGTCAGTCGTTAACTCGTAAATTCCTCCGAGCGATTTGTTCTTCCCCGTTCTTCTCCCTGAGAACGTCGTCTCCAACAGCAACAAATTAACACAGCGGCTACCGGGTAGACTAGCTTAATTAGATTAAAGGGGCAAAGCCTCGATATCGATCCTCATTTTCTTGCCGTTCTTCACAAACTTGACTCTTCTGCCTTCTTCCCGGTCAAAGTGACGTATTCGGGGCCGGCGGTCGTGCACGAGGGGCAACCTTGGACTATCGACTGCAACGACTTAAAGGACGATGATCCCATTAGATGGACCAGGAACGGCCAGACCTTGGAACCTGAGCTGTCCAGCGGTCAGTTGGTCGTCTACTCAAAGTCTGGCACTGGAAACAGCAAGCTTTCGGCGACCCAAGCAACGGAGAACCACGATGGAGACTACAAATGCACAAGCGACAGTGCGGACTCCTTCCACCTCTCGATATATTTCGGTGCGTAAACCAACGCGACATCGCGATTTCCTCCTTTTCTCCCTCCTTCCTTTGCGACTCGCTCTCTCGCACACTCGCGGGCAGGAAGCTGCTCGTCCGTGATCCTTCGCGCAATTCGTTTCGGGAGACGTCCGTCTGGCTTAACGGAATAATTAATAATAATAAATTGATAATAATAAACCTACCGGACCCGGATTCTCTCGTCGTCGGGCCAACAATTACGAGCAAACTTCCTGTCCACGAGCGCGACATCGTCGTTGCTTCCATCAGGAGCGATTGAATTCAATAAACATCAACAAGTTATTACACGCACGTCGCGCTGCTTTATTAATATCTTATTCCTTCTTGCATACACGCGTTTATTACAGATTCCACCTGACAGACATTGATTATCGGTTAAATTAATAAGTCAAGTAGCGAGACCTATACAGAGATACGTGGCCTACATCTAGCATTTTCTTTTCTGTCACACCTGATAATATTTGAGGACTGATAGTCGATTGTGATTACGTGCCGATCGAAATGCCGATCTGTTTGTCTCGCCTCGCACGCCCGAGACTCTTTATCATTATTTGTATCGTTTCTCTTCGTCGGTACGAAAGTATCAGGAATATTCCTCGTCACTCGTGCTAGTACATTGTAAAATTATCAGCGCATATTACGTCTTTTCTTTACTAATATTACGTCCTTTTACTAATTTCCGCCCCGGCTATCTCCGGTGTATTATATAATTTTGTTTCTACCGAAATCTCAAGCTCGAGTGTTTTCTCACTTTCGAATGAACAAATATGTGGAAGGGAAAAATCCATCAAGTTTAGTAGGAAATTAATTGCGACGTACGACTCGCGCGCGTATCTAATCGCGCGAGATAATCGACATCTCGCGTGTAATATTATAGTGTTACGTTATAGAGAGCACGAGTTACACTTCATTTATCTTCTGATAAAGGAAATTTACCCAATGGCTTTTCTCGTATTCAACGGTCGGAGAAACGCGAGAAGCGCGAATATTTTAATATTTAATTTTGCGAAAATACAACGAGGTTCAGGCAAATCAGGTGGACGTCAATGAACTTGTTCAACGAAGGTAGATTGTGCGGGTCGCTTCGTGTCTTTTCGGCAGCCGTGATTCTCACATATTATTACGGAATATTTGGGACACGTTTTAAATATAACCGCAATAGTTGCTGCACCGTGGCTGCTGCATTGTAAAATACTCGAGCACTCGGAGGAGCAAAGTTCCGAGTGATTCCTTCCGCGTCGCTGGATGGGATTTTAATTTCACGGAATGCGCGAGGATACGCATGCCTGCCCCCCGAAATCTTTCCGGACGATCTCATTCACGATCGCAATCGTGAATCGCTCAACAAAAAAGTGCACACGCATGCTTTCTTCTTGATGATTTATTCGCGAGTGTAAAACACATAGCGGTGATATTTACATAGCGCGCAATACCGAAAGACAACGTCTTGTTTGATGCAGACATTAAGATTAGAGTACTTACGCCCAGGGACATACCTTTGGTACTCGAATGCACAAACAGAAGCGCCGGCGATAAAACGCAGTGGCTGAAGGAGAAGACTCCGGTAGTTACGACATTGGGCGGCAATGAAGATATCCTCAAGATTGACAACGAGACCGGCACTTTGGAAATTTTAAAGGACACTGAGGAGGTTTACGGGAATTACACTTGCAAAGTAGCCAACACCACGACGGAGTACAGAGTCGTACGTGAGTACTCGAGCGCAAATCTCTTATATATTGATCCGCATCGCGTAAAATTGCATTCGACGAGAAGGTATATGTGTGTAAACAATCAAGAAATTAAATTTAGAAATTGAAATTGAATTTAAGAGCTTAGGAAAGTTTCTCTGTTAAGTTTGTATAAACTTGTATTCGTGCTGAGTATAATTGTGTAAATATACCCAGGTGCGTTTGCACGTGTCTCATGTATCTCCACCTTCTTCATTGAGAGAATATTTATTTTAAGAAGGAGGAAAATCTCGGGGGGGAGGAAAGATTAGCACACATACACACGTCTCGAGAGACGGCGCGAGATGTCTCCAGCTTACATCGGGCGTTCTAAAATTTTAGCGAAGCCAATCGCACACCTGGCGGAATCTACCAGCGTGGTGGAGGGCGAGAAGCTGCACTTGGTATGCGGCGGGAAACAGAGTCCCGGCATAAAGATATCCTGGACTTTCGGCGATCAGAATTACACGCGCAGCAAAGGCCGCGTGAAGATCGCCAAGGACCAAGAGAGGGGTATCTACGGCGCCGTCCTAATTGTCGACAATATCGAGATGAACGATCGCGGTAACGTTATCTGCAGGGTGTCGTACAACTGGTCCGATCCCGTAGCGGAACACTCGTCAGAGGCCGAGACATTCCTCAGGGTCAAGGACAAGCTCGCCGCGCTCTGGCCCTTCTTAGGCATTTGCGCGGAGGTCGTCGTGTTGTGCGCCATCATCTTAGTTTACGAGAGGAAGCGGAATAAAGCAGAACTGGAGGAATCCGACACCGACCAGAGTCCCGATACGTAAGTATCTTTCCATTTCAACATTTTTGTAAGAATTGTGACGTGCGTTTTGTCGCTTTTAATATCATCGAAACGACTATGGATGGAGGAGGGATCATGAGCTTTAAACCTTGTGGCTACGTTACTGAAAATCGGTTCGATTTTATTGGCCGGATATAAAAATCGTAGGAAATCATTGCGACATTACCAATATACTTGCAGCCATTTTCCCAAACTTTTTATACGCGACCAAACCGAATAAAATCGGACCGAGTTCTACAATCATCGTTCGATGAGCGATTATAATACTGAAACGCGCATTATCTCTATTCGCCTGACGCAGCCTTTCAAATCCTATCCATGTCGACGAACCCCTGGAATGGTACATTCCGCTGCACGGACCCTTTCCCCCCGACCTCCCTACGTCATCTGGTTTCATCAAGCCCGCCAAGAGCGTTCATTTCATATCCACCTCGGATAAGTTCCGGAAACATCACACTCTAAAATCTGTTCCGATAAGTCTAAAATGCTGCTGCTATCTGTTTAGACAAAAACAAAACGCGAATGACGATTATGATCATCCTATACTGTCCCATTCCGAATATGATTAGAAATTTGCGATACTCTCGACGATAACTCTCTGTTCGTCCTTTTGATATTTCGTTCTCGTTGAATTTGTAGCAAACCAACGCCCAACAAGGAGTCCGACGTCAGGCAGAGGAAATGAAACAACAAGTAGATGAATGAGAGCGATACGATAGAATCGGCAAGAAGAAGTCGTCGTGTGTCATAGTGTGCTTTAATGGGGATTCGCAAAGACAACGGGATGCGGCTTTGAACGGGGAATGGATTGTTTCTAAATGTGGAATAGACACTGGGGAAAGATGGACAGCGAGGTCGAATAAGCCACTCATAGTGCACACCTGCGTGAACACAGGCTCGTGCAGACGCATGGCAGGATCACAAGTTACTAACAAATTAAATTAAGCCTTATTATGGTGTTCACTCCATTTATCAGATGTTCGCCTGTTCGTATTCTTTAACTACACTGCTTTGACCGACGAAGAGAGAGAGAGAGAGAGAGAGAGAGAGAGAGAGAGAGAGAGAGAGATATGTGTTGACACAAGAATTATGTACAAGTGCCGATGACGTGAGTGCGTACCAGGAACGGAGGATGGCAATGGGCGAGAGAGGGAGAGAGAGAAAGAGAGAATAAGTAATGCATGTATGAATGAAAAAAAAAGCTAACAAAAAAATACCAGATCGATAGATTGAAGAAGAAGCAGTAAATAAAACGGCATGTCCGTCGATCGCGAGTACGCGCACGTGCGCGATTATATATACATATATATATATATATGTATATATATTATATATTATATACATAAAATTTCCCACGGAATGCTTAGAAGATTTGCAGTACCACAGACTGTCGGGCGTCGCGCGTTCACTCGTCGCATTACATCGCCTCCTTCCTTCTACCCTTTCCCGATCTCGCGCGGTACTCGCGCTTCGCGTTCGACGGACGCGTCGTGGGATATAGATTCGCGTAGACTCGTTTCTCAAATCGCACGTGTGACCGAAGAAAAATAAACTTTATAGTAGGGCCGAAAATATGCGCTCGATACTAGTTATGTAATAATAGGAACGCGGGCAGTGCGTGCCACATTTGGCTTCCGGATACGCTCGCACATTCTTGAGGATCATAAGAGGGAATGAGGGGGAGAGAGAGAGAGAGAGAGAGCGAGAGCGAGCGAGCGAGCGAGCGAGAATGAGTGAATAATTGAGAGAGAGAGAGAGCGCGAGAGAGCGAGAGCGCTTATCTTTGGCGTCGCCTTATTACGATATATTCCATCATTCGTGGAGATATCCCGGAAGTCTGGCTGCACGCGACGCCGTTGTTAACGACATTAATGTAATTAATACTGTAATATTATTGCCATCGTTACTACTGCTGCTACTACTATCGTTATTATGATTATTACAAGTATTATATCGTTAATTTTACCACTATTGTAATAATTTATAATCCGTACCAACACGATTCTCTATATCGACAGTGTCGTCATTGTCAGGTGTTTACAACTTCTGTCCACAATTGGGGGAGTCTAGTGTACCGCCGTGGGTGCCGCGGGTTCATTTTATCACCACTCCTCCCTAGGCATCATCTAGGCATTAATAGACCAATTACAATATATAGAATCGAAGCCGCACGGGAGTAATACTCCCGAGATGAATAGGGTAAATCTATTAAAGAAACAGGACGCGTCGACTCTGTTTAAAAATGTACAAATGTTTTATTGCTCAAACGTCCATGCTTGCTTTTAAGTAGACGCACTTGTGTCGGGCGTGTCGGCAGATTCGATAGATGCGCGTGTTCGTCGAGCGACGTGAGTCTACTAAGTTAACGCGAATCTTCCTGTCTCTTCGGATAGCTCTCGAATCTCCGGGATCGCCGCGTCCTTGCGTTTTCTCCAAGGTCCTCGAGCGCCCTTCCCCCCTCCCCCGCCCCTAGCCGTATTCTCAATGCCTTCAGGGCTCGTCGACATTCGATGCTGAAACCCTGGGCCTGTCGTAGAATACCCTCGAACATCCACGGCTATCCAAGTCGTGAAATACACCTTCGGACTCGAGGATCTTCCCGGAGCGTCATGGCGACGTTATACATAGTTACACGAGTTCCACCACTCCAAAAGCACGAAAAGTTCCCGACGGGCTTGAGTTCGCGCACTCTCTACAGAACCGCGCGCGTCCTATGGATTACTTCTTTGGTCGTAAGCGCCACTCGTACGCTTCCGTACAGGGACTTCCCTCTCGATGTCTCACGCTCGCCGAATCGACCGAGCGGCTCTTCGCCGCGAGAGACAGAGAGAGAGAGAGAGAGAGAGAGAGAAAGAGAGAGAGAGAAAAAGAAAAGTCACGCGGGAGAATGGGAAAGAAATACAGATAATAGCACCGCAGGGAGTCTGCGACTTCCTTTCCGCTCGCGTCCTCTGTCGCTAATAACAAGTCGTATGTACAGATGAACCGTTTCTCATTTTCTCTCTTTCTTTCTTTCTCACGATTCCATCGAGAGGAAGGACTCGCCGGATCGACGCTCTTCGGGGCCGGTCTACTTCGGCGTCTGGCTGCCGTAGTCCACGTAAACGCGCACGACCTCGCCGCTGTACTTCCGCTGGCTCGGCATGAAGTAGAAGTCCGGTTGGTTCGCCTGTGCCGCGGCGCCCGCAGGATTGTGCAGGCTCTTGGCGCGCTGGTAATGCTCACGGCGATCTTGAGTGTAGTAACCGGGCTGGATGGGCGCCGAGTGCCTGGCGCCGGGCGCGCGAGGCAGGCTGTAGGTCGCCCTGGGGCCGACCATCCTGGTGGGCCCTTCGACGGTGTCGGTGCCGTTCATGCTGGTCGTACCGTTGCCAGCCAGCTCGCGAGGTCGCGGCAGACTGGAGACCGGCGGCAGCGGCGCTTTCTCCTCCGTCTCAAACGCCTCGAATGCGAAGTTTGTGTTCGCGCTGGACGCGTAGTCCTTCCAGGCGTTGTTGGCGATCAAACGCTCCTGCGTGGGGGGGAAGAGAAAGAGAGAGCGATGTGATTAGCGTGTCGGGTTTACTCAGCCGTGAGCAATGGGGATAACCTGGCACTGCTTGAAACGATCGGCGGGTATTTCTTGGACGACCCTGAAGTGCCCGCCGATGGTATTTAAACGAACAGAACGGAGTACTGTTTGGTGAGAAAATTTAGTTTGGATATTCAGATTAGATTTTATGAGGTAGCGTGTGTGTGTGTGTGTGCGAGAACTAACACGTATACTTGAAGAATTCTTCTAATTCTCAAGCAACATAAATGGACAAAATACGTCTTAGAGACACTCTGAAGATGTTTGAAACAAGTAAGATGTCTTCCAGATCTCTCATTTATGCCATATGGGATTTGTCTTAAGCAGTGTGCTCGCTTGAAGTCTTCGTCCTTCAACTTCCATTCATGATATCTTATTTATACACATACATTTAAAAGAGAAGATGCGAGAGTAAAAAACTGTACAAGGCTACAAGCTTTCCTCGACTGTCCCGTATTAGTAAAAAATTAGATAGACGAGAAGGAATTAGAGAGCAATTAGGGCAATTATGTGGGGAAAGAGAAAGACAGAAAGATGCGACCGCAAAGAGAGAGGGAGGGAATTCAGCCAAGGTTAGCGGGCTGAAGAAAACGAGTAACATTTGCGCACCGATTACACTCGACGAGGAGTAGAGTTCTACCAGCTGGGATTAGCCCGATGCATTTCGGACGGGACGTGTTGGTGGTGATGCCGAAGGTGATGATGATGATGATGGTGGTGGATGTTGTTGTTGTTGTTGTTGTTGTGATGGTGATGGTGATGGTCGCCGTTTTGTCGATGGTACCGCGTCGCGTTCGTGCGGTGAATCGGGTTGGGCGCGTCAGAAGAAGCCAGAGGCAGCGAGTACACCCTCTTTATGGTCGCGAGGAGCGCGGGTCATGCAACACAAGCGAAGCAGAAGATGCCCTCGGGTTTATTACGGGGCGAGAGCGTAGTTTGTGGATTAGATTCCTACGGGGTGTTCCAAGCAAGTACGCGCGATCGATCGGTATAGTTTGCTTTCTCGCTTCCGGAGGTGAGTGAAATGGCGATGGTCGCCGGTAAACATCAACCAACACATCAATGTTATAATCTGTCGCTCAACAACGTAACTGTTACGCGCAACATGTATCATACTGCTCTGACGTACATTGCTCTAAGTGGGTGAGATTATGATATCGATGTTATATTGTTAGTTGGCGTCTACTGGGCTCGTTTTATTCAATATCTGCAATATCATCTCGCAATTTCACGAGTCTACTTACAAGTATAACCGCGACCTTCGCATCTCTTGCTTATTTAACTTCCCCAATCAGCAGACAATACTTCTTTAACGTTTTGCAAATGTTCATTTTACATTTTTTTTTTTACATTTCTTCCATTCATTGTACAAAAAATACTTATTTAACCCGTTTATTTAATGTATATTTCACATTAATTCTTCATTTAAAATAATGATAAAAAAAAAGATTTACTCAATGTTTATTTAATATTTATTTTACGTCGATAAAATTCGTTTAAAATCATTTTCAACGTTTTGAAAATATCTAAATGTTTCTTTAAATACTTTTGAAAACATTTTTTAAATATCTTTTTCCGATTGGGTTTTCATTTATCCGTTCAATTATTAGAAATTGTGATTGATATGTTTGATTGAGGTTACAATACCGATATATGGAAGATGCACAACATTTTCCGCCGTGAAGCACAATACGCTCTCCAACGATAATAATTTTACACGCGTTTTTCTTGGAAGACCCCTTAGATATCGCTATATATTGTTGCGACCGCGCGCGCCATCGAAGAGAATCACATCGATATGGCTATCGATATATATCGAGAGATTGAGACGCGACCATCGACAAGTGAGGTTATCGATACAGGCGCGGTCGTATTCGGCAGCGCGCAGTTACAACGATAAAGTCGTTAGGAGAGAGAGAGAGAGAGAAAGAGAGAGAGAAGAGCGGAACATAACACTGAGAAAACTTGGGATGCGAGAAAAAGTGGTGAGAAAGTACGCGAGGAGGAAGTCAAGAGAGTTTCTGACACTACAAGGGGAACGTACCTTGGTCGCTCGTCTCTTGGAGCTGCGATAGAGGGTGCAGCTAGCCTGAAGCAGTGCGAGAGCCAGCAACGCTGCCACGCAACCGACCACGATGTAGAGCTTCGTTGCGCCCAGGAACAGGTCCGACGAGGAAGACGGTAAGTCGTACTCGTCGTCCATATCGATCTCGTTCACTGAAAGTGACACGCAATTTCATTAGGAGCGAGATTACACGCGCGTCACTCGGTTGAATCCTTAAGGTTACGTCGATCAAGATGGCGAGCGTTTGAATGACTCGAATGACTTGAGCGCGGCGCCTAGCATTTCATATGTATCACCATTCCTGAAATTATCGGCAAGAGCACAGGCTTTTGCATAACGCATAATACATAACGCATAAGAGAATAAACCAATTAGTTTTCTTCATTTCCCTCTTCAGGATAGAAATGAAGAACTCTGATTGGTTAATTCTCTTATGCGTTGTGTATTATGCGTTATGCGGAAGTCTGTGCTCTGGTCCTTTCGATATCTTATGCTAACGCATAAGGACACACAGAGAGATGACACTTTTCATGTCACACACTCGTGTGACGCGGGCAGCAAACGTGTCAAACATAGATATAAATTGAGCCCTGCGTGTATTTAAATAAGAAGAATAATTATGTTATTAAATAAATATTTAAATTAGGACATCTGGATTAAATACAATTTATATATATATTTATTATTTATTTGTTTAAATATATATATATATATATAGATTGTGAAAAAGTCTGTCACGTAAAGATCCGTATTAAAATCCGATTTCAATTCACAAGGAAACATAGGAAACTCGGAAATTCAAAAAATCATAAAACTTTGTGTGATGGGTGGTTTCACCCCCTCAGACTGGAATTCCGCAGAAACAAAAGTTACTTTTGTATTACGGATGAACTACTTTACTTCCACACAAAGTTTCCGAATTTTTGAACTTCCGGGTTCTCTATCTTTCCTGGTCAGCATAGAGGCATTCACAACGTCCTGAGGTGACGAGCATATTGAACATATTAGTGTGAACGTTTGGCCATGTTTGACTGACCTCGGGGTGCCCTGACGAGCAAGTACTGCGGGTCAACGCTGAGTGCTCCGACCTTGCCGGTCACGATCGCCTCGCGTAGCGCCTTCTCCGCTTCCACGCCGGAGTCCGCCGGCGATTTCAAGGACCTCCCCTTGGCCTCGTTCTTGTCGAGGATCAGATTCATGCGCGCTATCACTCCTTGCTCGTTGTCCCTGCGAGAGGAAGGAACAAGTAGCGGGAAGAACTTCTCGCTCGCGTCGCCGTCGCGCGCGCGTCTTATCTCGTTACCTTCGTAGCTCGTTGAGTCGGACTTGATAGTAGCCCGGGAGCTTCTCGAAGACCGGTCCGAAGCTCTCCGATATCGTGTTCGAGATCACCTCGAAGTCCGGACTGCCCGACGTGGGTGCCGTAAATCCGTCGCCCAGATTGACGAGCTTGACTTCGATATCGTAATGCAATCTCGGAGGCGCGGGCGTAGTCTGCTCTTCGATCTCTGGATCAGCAAGAAAGGAGCGATATTCGTTTTTCTGCTTTTTTTTTTTTTCTTTCCGAACAGAGTCTGAGGCATATTTCAGCGAACCTTTCGCGGACGCGTGCCGCGACAATGTTCATCTACTTATTTACTACTCCTAATATTCTGATTTCGCACATTGTTCCGATATTTGTAATATCGCCCGGCGCCCTCGTTACCAACCGTCCGTTCGCAGCACGCGTCGAAGCGTGACCGTTTTTCTTTTTCTACGAAAAAATGCTGAAACTATATATTTGAAATTTTTATCCTTCACGTTACACGCGGTATAATTGCACATGGGACACTGCGTCTGCAAAAAGTTAATCACATCGAGATTCCAATTAGCAGCTTGAGTCATCGGAGGTCTGTAAGAGCTAAAAGTGAGGCCGCATGTATTAACAAGCGTGGAAAAATCGAGCCGGGAAAGATCGCGCGATTAAACAACATGTCCGCACAGTCCGCAAGATTTTTTCCCAAGAAACCGTTATATAAAACAATAATAGTCGATCGATTAAAAATAATCGATCGATACGCCGTTAATTGCGCGCGTTAGAAATCATGTCGCGTATCAGCGGGCGCGCTCGCGCGAGCGACAAAAATGCGAGAAACTTCAAAGGTTACCTTCCAAGCCGCAGGACTTGATACATATCCTATCCGACGAGACAACCGGTTTCGCGTCGTGCTTTCGGATCTTCTTATTGATCGGATTGAATATGCCGCCTTTAACCGGGAACATCATGTACAAGCAGTGATCGTCCGTGAACGAGAGGTCCCTGCTGTCCTTCGTCACGCGCTTCCTCGAGAACCTGAGAGTGGTCACGCCGTTCTCGATACGGCCGCTGATGTTGTAGACGTCCTGCGAAGGATCCAACAATGGCGCATTGTAGCCGCTGATCCAAGTGTCCATCACAAAGGCTCGGCCGTTGCTCTTGTCGACCCAGCCGAGCACCGCATCGGTTTGCGACTAGAAATTAAACAACAGAGAACTCTCTACAACACATCAAGTATACACACACTCGATTAAAGGGGTAAAAACATTAATATATAATAAGCGCAGTAATGGAGGAGTAACGATAATTGGAGAAAATCCATAATAATGATAGTAAAATAAGAAAATAAATCTCCATATACATTTCAGAGAGAGAGAAAGAGAGAGAGAGAGAGAGAGAGAGCACATTTTGTCCATATTTTTATCAATTATTTATGAGAGAAAAGTTCCAAGACTGTCCAGCTTGAACGATAACTTATATATATTTATACTTATATATATTATATATTTGGACGCCCACTCTCAGTTGAGAATTTTTTAATGTTTAAAGGATCTTAAAGAAAGAGGACGCACGCAGGTGCATTCGAAGGAGACGAGGCGAGGCGGCGCTTACCATGCTGCCGTCGTTGGCAAATCCAACTCCGGTCCATGCGTTGGTATTCGTCGTGGAAATAACGAACGTTATGAGATCCTGCGGGGAAAAATTTCCATGATATTGATTCCGCGCATGACGGGACGGCATTGTCCGCCTTTACGGGGGAACGCCGAGGAAACACGAGACAAATTACCTTTCTACCCTTGTACGTCCATTGTATGGCATATTCGCAAGTGCCATTCTCCGGCGAGCAATTTCTTGGATAACGCCATTGGCCGCCGCAGCTGCCGTCTTCCAGCGTTACACCTCCGGCGAATTCTGGCTTTTTGGCTTCGTCTGAAACGATATCGATATCCTGCAGAACACGCGAGAACAATGCGAGAAGGAGGGAAGAAAGAAGGAAAGAGCTTCAACGATAGAAGCTTCAACGGCGAGAAAAAGAAACCAAGTAGAGACGTGATAAAATAGACACATCTTCGAGATCCTCGGGGAGGCTCTCGGATACATTTAATCGCTAAGAATTAATCGAGGCCACCCGCGAGCCGCGAGCCGCGAGCGAGGATGTCGGCAAGGAGTAATCTCTTTACGAGAGAACAATGAATCGTCGTTAACTTTTAGCGTAACAAATTCCCCTCCCATAGGGGCAAACTTCTTTACCGTACCGATTCCTCTAGCTCATTATCCTACCTTGATTGTCCTGTATATATTCATATCTTAGAAATTAGCGATAATTTATTAGCCTCCCGCTAACAGAAGAACGGATTCGCCGTCAACATCCTCGCGCGCGGCTCGCGGCTCACAAATGAATTCTTTCGCGATGATGAGGCGCCTCCCATCTCCGGGCCGTCGCCGCTAATGTGCTGCCCACACATCTCGCGACACATCGCTAAACGCCTCGTTATAGCCCGGCGAGACGGCCTCCGTAATGATTTCGCGATACGCGTGTGAAGGCGAGAATACAAAGGCTTCACTCTCTCACCGAAGAAATTCATCGTCGCTGCGCCTCGCTGCATTCCATGCCCGTGGTATTTAAGCTCGTCGACCTTGTAGAAGTCTTTGACGCCGACCTTGGCCTTTTCGAGCCCGCTGGCTGGCTGGTGCACGTACTTGCCGGGCTCTTGACCTTTCGCCCAAATCACCTGCATGTTGCCGTCGCGGATCTCGTGATCGGTCGGCTCGCTCGCGGCCAATTTCCTGCGGAAGACCACCGTCGTCACGCCGTCGCGCTCGTAGCCGAGCGCGGCCGTCAGGCTGTCCCTGCCGCCCCAGTACTCGTCCTTACGAGGCGTCGACCTGTCCCTCGTGTAGTAATCGCCGATCCTGTAATTCGTCCCCCGCGCCATCCCGATGATGATGTCCGTGCAGTCCATGGGGTTGAAGTCGTGCTTCGGCGTGTAGCGGTGCCCCGGCGCTGGTAGCGATGCTTCGCGGGTGCGACGGTATAAGTCTCATTAGTTCGCTCAGTTAAGAGACTCCTGCCGTGTCTTGGATGATGCCGTGAGGAGCGAGGAGGAGAGCCACGCTTTAAACGCTCCCTACGGCTCGTTGTCGGGATCCGTGAAATCCGACACTCGCATCGACCGAACGCTACGTTAACGAGCTTGTCTTTCGTCGAAGCGACAATCGACTGACAGGCGAAAAATCAACGTGACGACAGAAAAGATTAATTAAAGAAAAGAGAAGGTCGTATGTCACACGTTAATTCCTACGGTTATTTCCCGATCGTTGGAGCAGGCTGGAAGTTTCCGCGGCGTTTCAGAAACGTACTCGAGTATCGATCGCGAGTGTCACGCTTTACGGATACAGACCTTTTTACTTGGACGTGAGCCGTAAGAATTTCCGGATTATGGACTCCTCTCTGCTCCCGACGTCATCCCGAGCAAGAGCCCACGACGAGGAGACAGGAGCCTCGTAATCGCGGCAGTAATCGGCCGTAATCGTGCGGAACGACAATGATGAAACTGAACAATGACGCGCTGAAGTGCGTCCGATGCGAGTCCGGCAAACTCGAGTCTCTCGTATTTGTGTCTTGCAGAAGAGAGCTACACGCGACCTTTGGCCTCGCCACAGCGTGGCCAAAGCAGAAAGGTTGTCAGAGTCGACTGAAAAGGAGCCTCTCCTGCGCTCCTCTTTCATCGGCCGAGACACATCACGAGATTTGCCGCGAGACGCACATCTCAGTCACTCGATGCGGATCAATTGTCGATGTTACGGTGTGTTAAAAATGCGGTGTTAAATGGTGTCCTACGGTGTCGGGGTAGTTGTGACGGGTGGAGAGAGAGCTCGAGACACGTGCGTATTTCGTGTCGAAGTCACAGCATGCTGAACCCGACACTTGCGTCGGTATATTTACAGGAGAACGACGGGGTCGGGGGCGGGGGCGGGGGCGGGGGGGCGAGTGTATGAAGCGTTGAAGCGTTATCGACATAATATCTACACAGGTATTTCTTTTCGTGCTTCGCGGCGCGGGGGTGAAGATGCTCGCGGGGGGTTGCGTTCCGGTGCCGCGATTAACGAACGCGAAAGTCAACGTTCGCGATTTCGCAATCGACACCGGCGGAAGAGGCAGATGTCGCGCGCATTATTCCCGCTTCTTATCGACACGCTAATTACGCTTTCTCGGCAAACATTTGCCGTTGCTATCCTCGCGTTCCAGTTGCGCGCGGACTTTTCCTGGCGGCGCGGCGGCCTTACGGTTATCGTGAAAGTCGTGAATGCCGAAAGTAATGGGTGCGAAGTATACACTGCTGATCGCGCATTGTCGAGGTGTCCAGATGGCTACGCAACTACGAGAGATTTCTGTCATACTTCTCGTCTCAATTTCTCTTCGTTAGGACCATGTACGTACGCGCGGAAGCACGCGCGAGAAGGATATCTGAGAAAGACGCGCCTCGGTCACATGGCGAATGCGTATGAAAGTTAACGCGAACTTGCAAAATCTCTTGCGCCGCTTGGATACGGCCTTCTCGTTGTCGTCGCCGATAACAACCAAGAGAGGAAAGCTGAGGAAAATCTCTGGTAGCTCTCGAGAGTTAATGACATAAGTGCATGGCGATGTATGCGGAAACAAGCGTTAAATCAGTCCTCGTTACCTTTCGTCGCTCCCGACTTCGGACCTACGCTTGGCTCCGGCTCCGAGCTGGCTTCCGGTTCGGATTTCGGCTCCGGCTTAGAACTAGGTTCTGGCTCGGACTTTGGTTCTGGTTCAGAGCTGGGCTCTGGCTCGGATTTTGGCTCCGGTTCAGAGCTGGGTTCGGGCTCGGATTTCGGTTCTGGTTCGGAGGTAGGTTCCGGCTCGGATTTTGGCTCCGGCTCAGAGCTCGGTTCCGGTCTCGAGCTCGGCTCTGGCTCGGAGCTTGGCTCTGGCTCGGAGCTTGGCTCTGGCTCGGAGCTTGGCTCTGGCTCGGAGCTTGGCTCTGGCTCGGAGCTTGGCTCTGGCTCGGAGCTTGGCTCTGGCTCGGAGCTTGGCTCTGGCTCGGAGCTCGGTTCTGGCTCGGACTTTGGTTCTGGCTTAGATATTGGCTCCGGCTCAGAGCTCGGTTCCGGTTCCGAGCTTGGTTCTGGCTCAGATATTGGCTCCGGCTCAGAGCTCGGTTCTGGCTCCGAGCTCGGCTCTGGCTCGGAGCTCGGTTCTGGCTCAGAAGTCGGCTCTGGCTCGGATTTCGGTTCTTGCTCGACGAGAATGCTGGACTCGACGACCGGTTTCCCTGTGCAACAAAGCATCGTACGTCGTGCCAGCTACCTACTTACAAGGGCCATCACCTCGTGCGTCGTGTCTCGAAGAGTGGACTTCGCTACGTTACACTACTGGAATTTCGGAGCAGGGCGGAGGAGGAGGGGAGCGAACTACATATCGATACTAAGTTCTTCAGCAAGCGAGCGACTTATCGGAGAGAGAGAGAGAGAGAGAGAGAGAGAGAGAGAGAGAGAGAGAGAGAGAGAGAGAGAGAGAGAGAGAGAGAGAGAGAGAGAGAGAGAGAGAGAGAGAGAGAGAGAGAGAGAGCTGTTCCATACATTAACATCATACATACCGTTCGCGGAGATCGGGGTCGGTTCCGGAGATCTTCGTCGGCGACCTGCATGAGCAAAATAATTATAAGAGCGTCTCGCTGGAGAGATCGGAAAGAAAATGCGACGAGACGCGTTTCATAAACGGCTTTTTTACTCTTCTAAACAGAGGAGTTCAGAATTTTTTTCAATATAATGTGAAAAAGAGAGAAGATAAAAGATTCCGACTCGAAGTTCTTAAGCATCCGAAAAAAGTAATGTTTATGATAAGCGCGTCATTGTTTGTGCATTATCATTCTCCTGCGACCGTAATTGCGAGCTCCTTGAACCTTGCGCGATCTCGATCGCAAACATAACGCGTCGGCATATGCATTAATGTGCCAACAATGGCGTGCAGGCGGCTATTTACCGTGCGCGTCGCAGTTGACGAGGAAAACACGCGAGGATGCGTCGCGTCGCAGAGGATGCGTTGCGTCGCAGAGGACACGTATTTTTCCTTTTCTTTTTTTATAAGAATAACAAGGACTCTTCGCAAACATTCTCGCGCGGAAATATCACGCCGCGCCGCGGCAACATTTTTCACCGACAACTCGGAGGGAGCTGCGTTTAGACACAATCAGTGTCTTAAACTTGCTTAGAGAGAGCAACCCGACCGCGATGCATCGCGGTGACAAATATTTAACGATCGCGCGGGATAAAACGCGGCAAAGATAAACAAGTGTGAAGCCGGGAGAGCCGATAAGAGTCGACGTGCGAGATGTAAATTCGCGAGACGCGAGCGCTTGATCTGTAAACGAGGCAATTCTGCCTTGCTCGTGCGTGACTTTTCGTATTTTTCCACCGAGGAAGCTCGGAATGGCGACCGAAAGAAGAGGAATTTTTTTCGCATTTGATTCCTTATCTCGTTTATAGATTAAGTGGTTCTCTCTCTCTCGTGCGATCTACTTATCTCATCGAATTGATTCTCGACTTTTTATCTCATCAACTCAATTGTTTTATTCATTCCCTCATCTTGTTAAATTCACTCGACTCATCTCATTTATTCTTAATCATCCGTATCAGCTCAAGGTGTGATCCTACTGAATTCATTTATCTTCCGCCGGTTTTTATTGGCTGTCTCATCCGCAGCTGATCCACATCCGAGAAAGAGGAGAGAGAGAGAGAGCCTCGGCAATTTATTTAGAAATTAACAAGTCTCACCTTGCTTCGTGCTGACTTGATAAGTTACGCTAGTCTGCACGGTGACGTCGACGTCCGGCCGCGACGTTAAACCGAACGCCGCGGTGTCCGCTTTGGCCGATCTCCTCTTCGCTCCCGATTTCTCGGCTTCCAAGCCAGGCTCAGCTCCTGGTTCCGGTTTCGGTTCCGCGTGGGGCTCCGCTTCCGGACTGGACGTCGACCTCGGCTCAGCCACTGGCTCGAGTTTCGGTTCCGGTTGTGGCAGCGGCTCGTCCTTCGGCCGGTCCTCGATCTTCGGGAAAGATCGGCAGGTTGGGCCCAGGTCACTGGGCCTCCATCCGATCGCGACCCACGTAGTCGAGTTAGCCACGAGGATACCCTCTAACTCCTTGCTTTCTTTCAGGATCCTCCAGTAGAATATGACGTCGTCGGAGAAGCGTTTCATCGTGTACGCGTCCAGGTCGACGTCGATGCTCTTCACCGGTGATCCTGCAAGCGGGCGGTAGTCGCAGCTACGGTTTCACCGTGAACTCGCAACGTCGCCTAAGGTAAGCCTATTGACACCTCCCCGCTCGTGCTCATTCGCTCGATTTGTATCTGTTAGCGTCCCTCTGACGCTGCTTATTAATTGCGCCTGCTCGTCGAGAAGAGAAGAAGGTGCTCGAGATTGACGGCTCGTTAATGCGACGAATGCCGGTCGTTATGTAACGAGAGTCGGTTTGCAGCAGGCATCGACCGAATCGAGCCATGAATCGCGTCGACTTTCAACGTATCGCGAATTCGGCGCATCGAATGATCCCGAACCGGTCGAGTCGGGTGTGCCGGTGTCTTCAGGCTAAGCCGCACCGACTCATTGGTCTCCACGTCAAGCGGCATCATTCTCACATCTCAAGCGTGAGAATTAGCCGAGGAACTCTTCGGTTGCTAAGCTGAATTATATCTCCCGGACGTGAGACTCAATGAGGGGGACTCTTCAGCCTAAAGCGAAGCGATGCAGAAGCCGCGACGCGGAATAAGCGCGAGCAAAAGGAGCAAGAGGGAAGCGTATCGAGTTGCCTGCCAGAGTGCACCCGAGGAAACATGTCGTTGAGGTGTCTCGAATTTCCTCGCGGGCGCGGGCAAGGAGAGCGCGCGCGGAGGAGCATAAAGCGGCCGCGCGGCGCGTTTGCTCCTTCCCTCTTTCTCCTTCCGCCCCGCTGAACGGACGAGAACGGCGTGTGTCCCAGAAGCGCGGCAAGTGTCGCCGGCGCGCGAGAAATTCGCGCTCGCCGCGGTGAAACTCACTCTTCGCGCAACCCGGGCCGAACCAACCGGTGTTGCAGTAGCACTGCTTGGTAGGCGCGGTCGTGCCGCCGTTGTCGACGCACGTGCCCTGAATACCACAGTCCGAGTCGTCCAGGCACTCCTCCTTAAATTCGCACCTCGTGCCGTGATAGAGGCGGTCGCATCGGCACCTGCTCAGCAGGTAACGCCCGTGACCGCTGCAGTCCTCGTGGTAGGCCTTCCTGTCGACGATCTGCCGGACCGTAGACAAATGTCTCAACAGTCACTCTCGCGCGTGGGCGCGGGGAGGGGGGAGGGGGAAGGAGGACGCGATTTGGAGGTTTTGCGATAGAAATACAGCTGTCGTTGGCCGTAATTCGCGCGTAACCGCCGACAGATTGGTGGTCTGGCGGACTGATCGGCGGGAAGTGAGCGGAAGTGAATAAGAGAGCTTGGAAGATTCAGCGCAGCGATGAGTGTAGAAAATTCCAAGCTCCACTTCTCTGTCCTTTTCACGCGTCATCCACGCGTGCGAAGAGAGGGAGAGAGACGCGACGATCCTCCCCGATATTCATATTCGAATGCGATCTTCGCGAGAACTTTATTTTCTTCGCGTAATTTCGCTTTGATCGCAACGTTCTCGCGACGTGGTGGTCTCTTCTATCCTCGTTGACATCGACTCGGTTTTGTATTTTCGATCGGCAAAAATTCACTTGTTTGTTTACTTGTTTATTCCCGATTGTCGTGAAAATAACGCTCTCTTTCTCTCCCTCTCTCTCTCTCTCTCTCTCTCTCTCTCTCTCTCTCTCTCTCTCTCTCTCTCTCTCTCTCTCTCTCTCTCTCTCTCTCTCTCTCTCTCTCTCTCTCTCTTTCTCCGACCACATCGGCCAGTTTTTTCCGAGAGAGAGAGAGAGAGAGAGAGATCGCGGGAAACTCACGTCGATGTCCGCGCAGGACCAAAATCTGTAGCTGGAGCCCCATTCCTCGGCCTCGCGCAGCAGTCTAATGGTGCAGTCGGTGCAGGTGAAATCCTGCGGCAGCTGCACGGCGTACCTCTGCGCGCTGCGAAAATCGAATATGTCAGGCTTATGATAATGAGGGGTCCCACGGAGAGAGACCGCGCACTTACGTAGCGTCATCTTCGACAAATTCGCTGTTCCGCGTGACGGGTGTCAGATCGATCAGAGGCCTGTCGAGCGCGTCCAAGATTTGAAGCCGAAAGCCCCCCTGAAAGATAACGGACGATAAGCTTATGTAAGCGCGTGGTAAAAGGCATCGATCTATTCGTAACGCGGCAAAAGGACAAGCCTCGCTTATTTTCCGTATTTTCCTAATTTTTAGCCGTTGTTTTTGTCGATTTGTCTCTTTTCGCGCGTGTCGCCGGTGTAGAAATTGTAGTTTGCAAAGCGATAATTAAACATTGAATGATTGAATTAATTAAATTTAATAATTAATGTTCAATAATATATATATATATATGTGTGTATATATATATATATATATAATTGGTATTTAACAACATGCATCTTTTAAAGAGATAATATTTCCCCGTGAAATCAATGGAGAATTAAAGTGAAAATTTTGCGAATGATTTACCATTTTATCACTTCGCGTCGAGAAATCACTTTCGCTCTCACGCGTTACAAACGAGTTTCCGCGTAAACGCGAAATTTATAGCTCCGCAGCGCGAGAGTTTCGCGATGAACAACGGCATCGTCGTCGGAACGAGGCGTCATCGCGCGGCCGAGCGATTTCGATTCCGGTCTCGAGCTGGATCGGTGCAAGTGGGTCCCGGCCGTTCGATTTCACGATTTTTTCCCCCGGTAACCCGACGAGCTGCAAGAAATCGTCGAGGCGATTCGTTCCGTCGCCGTCGTGATCGACCGCGCCATCCGCAATAAATCAACGGCGAGAGATTAAAAATTTCCCCGTTCTGAATTCACCGGCACGAATAATTGCCGTACAGTTACTCATCAAAACACACACGCACGCACACACCGTCTCACCCAAAAGGAGGAATCATTTTATTAATTGCGTACCAATTAACAGTCCCGTCGATATATAGTCGCGTCAATTTCATACGATTCAAGGATAACATTAAATCTCTCCCTCTCTCTCTCTCTCTCTCTCCCCTCCCCCTCCCGCTCTCTCGAGCGCCAAGACACTCGGACAGGTATTTATCTCTCCTCACGAGCGTGAATAATAATTCAAAGATGCGGATACCAACCGGATTCTGGCACGAATGTGTCCGTCGTCCACACGTCGCGTGATCGTGCAGCGAATAGCGGTACACATCGCGGACACGCTCGTACGCGCGTCATACGAGCGTGTCATACGCATATTTTTCGCGCGAGTGCTCGCGCGCGCTTCGCGCCGTTCGGCGATTCCCCGCGCTTGCGAAATTGCCGGCGGCGGCGGCCGCGCGCGCGCGCGAAATGAAGAAAACGGCGCCGGCGACGAGTCGCGGGAGTAAATGACGGGATAATGACGGCCGCCGGGCTAATGACCGCTCGTTCGGCCGATTGATATGCGCCAGCCGCGGCTTTGCGACACTGCCGTGGGACTCCTCATCGCGATCACGGCGGCCGCGTCAGCCCCCTCGAGAGGAAGACGGAGGGGGGAGGACGCACCGTTAGGAAAGCGCGCGGTGAGCTCATGCGATGCCGATGCAAGTTCATAAACGCTTGAATTGAGTAACATCCGCGTCCGTCCGTCCGTCCGTCCGTCCGTCCGCTTGTTCGTCCTGCTGTTCGTCCGTAGGCGGGAGTAGCGCGCGGATTATCGCGAGGCGATATCTGCGATTAACCGCCGCCGTGAGCTATTGTAACTTCATCGCGCTCACGCAACACCGGCGATCCCGATTCCGTTCATTAGCGATTTTTACGGAGGACGCCCACCCTCCTCAGCCTCGACACGCTCGCGCCGCGAACGGAGAATCGTTGCGAGCGAGGAGCCTCGCTTTTCCGCTGACACATCCTGGAGAGCCTGTCTCTCAATTCATTCACCCGTCTCATCTGCTCGCGCATTTATCACCATCAGGGTCAGGTGGAAAAATCAGACGATTTTCGTCGCGTCCTTCGCTGCAGCGTTCGATGGCCGCCGAGAAAGACGCCGGACGGAGCGGAACGGCGCGGCGCGCTCCTCTCGAGAGGGCCGCGACGGAGAAAGGGAAGAGCGGACGGCCGCAACGACTTGGTACCGCTTCGCACGACTTGGTACACACCTGCAACGCAATGTTATTGTCGAATTTTTCTCGCGCCGAGCCGCGGACATTTTCGAGCCGAGCTCGGGTTCGCGCGCCGCCGCGCCGCGCCGCGCCGCGCCGTGCGCAGGATTTTAACGACGCCGTCGTAACGTGACTCGCGCGAATGTTTATTGCGCCGTTTCTTTCATCGCGCGGAACATTAACTGCGAGCGAGCGAGTTGGACTCGACCGCTGAGATCTGCCTGCCTCCTAAAGAGGATCACGCGTGTCTAAGAGGAATTTCCACTCGCGACGTATTAACGGCAACGGTGATTCGCTTTCTTTTTCTCTCTCTTATACGAAATCCGGGTGTGCGTTGACGTTGAGGAAAGACCGACCGGCGCTTTTATGCAATTTTTACGGTCGCCCAACGGTATCGTCCGGGTGAGCAGATTGGTGAACATCCAGGTCTCCTGTGAGACGCGTCTTCTCTTCTTAAGGAATTTCAGTGCGAGATTAGTGCATGTGTCGTGTTATATTTAATTAGTGAATATCGCCGGGATTATATTTCTTCCCTTAGCATGTGGATCAAAGAGTTTCTGATCTCGTGAATGGACAATAATCGTAACTTGAGCTGGGCGGTGGAGATTTTACCATCAATGTCCAGCTGGCCACGTCTGATGTTCGGAATATTCAGATTACTCATGCAATATTCCTCATCATCCATTGATATATATATTTGTCAAAACATACATTTTTACGGGCTACACTTTCAGTTCTTTCCGGAGGGATCTATCCAGATCTTCCAGTGACATTGCAACATTGACAATCTGCGATGGTACATTGACGTCGTTAGTCACGCACGCAGTGCGATCACGCTTTGCTTCGCGCAGTCGATCTCCCTCCTTCTTCACTTTTTAATTGCCAAGTGGTTCCCTCATACACCTCTCTGTAATCCCTCTGTTTCTCATCGACCTTCCATCAGAGACCACTGCGGCCATAAATCGTTCATACCGGCATCAACGTGGAACTTTCCGAGTCACTCTCCAGCAGAAGCTGACTTGCGTCGCTCCGAGAGAGCAATTAACGACGTTTGCGGCTTGGTCCCGCATTGTGACTGGCTTCGAAACATAGCAAAGCCCTGCGCCGAGTCGCAGCCGGAGCTATCCGAAGCCCAGGCGCTTACGTTAATCCCGATGAAGTCGCAATGAGAGGCTCGCCAAGGCCCGAGGTCAATCTCAAATTAACCGATGCATTGTCCACTTGTCCAGACATCGCACGCTTTAACGCGCTCTCAAGAACGCGGGATAATCCCGCGTCGATCCGACAGATCCCGGAATCCGAGCTCGCTCGCCACGGCAGCGCTTCAGGATCGCGGCGCGTTGCGCATGAGAAGACGACCGAGAGAGCACCGCTCTAGCCTGGCCTCGCGAGCGTAAGCCAGGTAAGAGCCGCGGCTTTTGCACGTTAGCCGAAGGCGAGACGACGACGCCTTCGTGCTCGCGAGCGATCGTCATCGGCGACGTTCGAGTTACGGTACCCGGCATACCGATCTGTTCCGCCGCGGCTCAAGCGTCACGTCGACGTACGCGAGCCTGCCCAGCTCTGCCTGCCTGCCTGCCTGCCTGCTGTCTTCTACACCGCCTCTATTCGGCCTACTCGTAGGCCGCATACCTACGAGAGACCACGCTCTCGTGAATAATTCAGCGCGCGTCACCTTGAGCGACTAGCGCGCGCGTAGGCAGGGGGACAGAGAGAGAGAGAGAGAGAGAGAGAGAGAGCCTCCTGGGCTGTGCTCTTTTCCTTTCGCAGCCACCACGTGCGGACAAATTCGTAATGTCTTGCGGACGGCGTGGAGTGCCCCGCGTACTCGTTGAATACGAACGACCGGCGGCGATTACCGTCGAGGACGCCTGCGCTCGTCGCGACGAGAACGAGCCGCGTTTTCCCGTCCGTCTCCTCTCCGTCTCTTTTCCCGTCCCGTCTCGTTTCTCTCTCGTGTGCGTGAACAATGGGGAATTGATTATTGTTATCATGGTCCGATTTTCGCTCGCCGCGCGCTATCGAAACTGATGACGCGGATGACGAGAGGAATAATGAGGAGCGAAATCACGAGGGCAATGAAAGGAGCAACAAATATGGCCAATTATCGAGAATTATGATGAGAAAACATCATCGGAGGTTTACGATCTTCTAAGCTCTTGATAGCGGCCGATTGATGACGCGTGATCCGAGCGGCGTGCTAATGCCTTCCGCGAAGGCCCGTAAACGCCTCTCATTTCTCTCTCTCTCTCTCTCTCTCTCTCTCTCTCTCTCTCTCTCTCTCCTTGTCCCTTTCTCCCCTTCCTCGGATTTTAATAAAGAATCGCCGTGCGTCGTTTACGATCCTGTAATTTTTCCATGGCACGTCATTTCCCGGCGATCCTCGACGCCGCGCGCTCGCGCCGATAACGCCTTCCGCGAGAGCGCTCGTAAAGCCCTCTTTGCCTCTCTTGCTCGTCCTCGGTCGATCGGAGAAACTGTAAAAATCGCTCTCGACAGAGTTACGTTGCGCCGGGCCAACATTCAGCGCATGGTCCTGTGAGGTTTCGATAACGCGCGTGCGACTGTCTCGTTAATCTTCAACGCTTCGCGCGCCGATAATGCTTTCTCCCATAGACCCGTAAAGCTTTCTCCTTCGGCCGCGCGCGCGGGCTTCGCAGGAGTCTCTCGCGGCGGTTCAATAAGAACTGGCGCGCGGATTTGAATCTAAATTTCATCGCAATCCGGAGGGGCGATCACGTGGAGTCTAATTTTAACGCGCGCGCGCACGCCGACGCTCGTCGTCGCGACTCGCCGCGGGCGCGCAGGAAGAGTTAATTACCGCAGGATAGGCTGAATCAGAATGCACCGGCGCCGCGCGGAGAGCCGCGCGAAGAATGCCCCATTACGTCGGAAGCGTTTGCGGGGCGAGGAGGCGAGGACGTGGCCGGGAAGTACAGCTCCGGTGAAAGCAGCCTCGAGCCGCGAAATAATCAAACGCACGGCACGATTTTATCGTTTGCCCCGCTCCCTCCCCTGCGTAACGCGTCGGTCGCCAAAGCGACTTTTTAGGCGGCCCGAGAATTTGAAATGTGTAACGCGCGCGCGCGCGCGCGAGAAATTGACGCCGACGCCGACGCCGACGGCGCGGCGTCGGCGGCAACGGCGTTTTGTTTTCCTTTCTCCGCGCGGACACGTCGCGGCTGTGCGAGTGATAATTTGCGCGTTGTTCACTGAGGTACAGCTTCTCCTTCTTCCTTCTCCTTGCTACGCGACAGCGGCTTATCGGGAATGACTGGCGAGTCGCGCGCGCGCGCTAAAAATGTCAGTAACTGGAATTACAGGAACTGCGGGGCTGCGGGGTGGACGAAGTGAATGAATCCAAAGCGGCCGCTGTTCAAAAATTATTTAAAATGCAAGAAATTGATTATTTATTACGCAGTGCATAAAATATGCTCCAACGTGTCTCGAGTCTACGCTGGACATGAGGAAGCATCGTTTTATAAAGTTTAGGTGAACGTAACGAATCAACTGATAGCTGAGAACCGAGAAGTGAGCGCGCGAGTTGTACGTAACGTAATTTACGGAAGAAAAAGAAACGTCGTTCTTTAAACTCCGCGCCGCGTCGCGGAGCGAATGAAGCGAGCGAGTTGTCGTTCGACGTGCGCGTCGGGGAAAAATCATTCTGGCGAGAGAAGCGCGTCTTCGATATTCGAGGAGAGCTCCGTCGCGATCATTGACTCCGCAAACGCTGAGAATTTTCTCGAAGCGTCTTCCTCTTCTCTTCTCCTTCCGTTCCGCTGCCGACTGAATTCCGGCGAGCTTTTTATCTAAATTTCCTCGTCGCGGTATTACGCTTGTTTGCACGTCTGATATTTCGTGCCGGCCGAATATTCAAGACCGCGCAACCGCGTCTTTGCTCGCTCCTCAACGCCGGGTTATTACGGATTGCGTTTCCTTCTTTGCCTTTTTATCTCACCGCCGAGCCAATTCATCCGGCGACTTTTCATCCAAATTGATTCTTTACGGTATCACGCTCGTTTGCGCCTCTGGTATTTCGTCGTGTCCGAAAAACCGACGAATATTTGTTCGTTCCTTAATGCCGGGATATTACGGGATAATGCCGGGAGCGTTTTCTTCTGTTTCCCGTTGGCGTTGCTCCGCCGCCGCGAGTTAAGCGAGAAGCACACACTTTTGCATAAAGGCATAATACACAACAGAATAAGATAAGAAAATGAACCAATCGGAGTCTTTGATTTTCAGCATGGCGATAGAAACAAAGATTCTAATCGGTTGATTCCTTTGCGCATTGTGTATTATGCCTTTATGCAAGAGTGTGTGCTTCCCGCTTTATGGCCATCGCACACAAAATACATATGTATAATATAACTGCGTATACGTAGCATAAGGCCATCTTGACAAATGAGCATTTAATATAGAGTAGCCATATTGATTTACATAACATAGCATAAATATAAGCATAACATGTGCATGGCAAACGAAAAATTCCGTAAGAACGAAATTTCGATGCATTGAGTCTGCGCACATCCAATCGAATGCCAGATATATTACTGCAAAATACATATAATCGTCCATGTCCATTATTATTGACGATATTAAGCAAAATCTCTTGGCAACTTCTCCTGGCTACTCACAAATTTCAAATTCGACATATATCATTAATATTTAGGTTAGAAGTCTATCCTTGAATAATACTTATTGTCCCTCAGTTCTCATTGCTCAGGCTTTATGCCCATTTCTGTATTCTGTTGTACGGGCAAAAGCACAGGCTTTTGCATAACACATAATACACAACGCATAAGAGAATAAACCAATTAGTTTCCTTCATTTCCCTCCTCAGGACAGAAATGAAGAACTCTGACTCTTGTTGATTCTCTTATGCGTTATGCAGAAGTCTGTGCTTATGTTATGTTTTGTTATGTTGGCTTCCATGCATTTCGTGCGCAATGGCCTTTAATTCCGACTGATCTGATCTCGCTTACGGTATTATGATCGGTGTTTCGCATAAAAAACCGGACATTTGTAGTCGCGAGCGCTCCTTCGTACGCTCCGATGCGCGGACCTTGCGGAGCGGCTTTCCGACGCACGTGAGGTGCGAGTCTCGCGTTCCCTCGCGTTCCCTCGCGGCCGAGGGAACGGAGGAGAAGGTTCAAAGGACTCGCGCGCGGCAGTGTCTTACTCACCCTGTGGGGGTAGGCGAGGTGCCACGTGACGTTGAAATTGCTTCCTGCCAGTAAGGACGTCTTGACGCTGCCTGCAAAAATCAAGCCAAAGCGGAATATCAAAATCAGAGTGTGACCGAACGAAACACTCGGCTCGGTGTGTTTTCGCGAGCGTAAAGTCGGACAATGATAAATCGCTCGGTTCCGCTCGGTCGCCGATTAATCTCGCGAAAATTCGCCGCCGTTCGGGGGGATTCCTGGCCTCGTCCGGCTTGCTTGCTCGCTCGTCGCGACAACCCGCCGCCCCGGAGGTCGCGTGTCTCTCCACAACGTCGCGGCAATGCTGCGAGTCGCTAATTTCTGCCGCGAGGCATCCGCCGTCTATTAATTACTCGGCCTGCCGTTAAGCGCGCTTTCGATACGCGCGCGGATGAGAGCGGAACCTTGACTGAAGTCGCAATAACGGTAGACGGTGGCGAGTCCGAGGTCAGAAATCGCGCGATGCGCAACATCCGCGCAACGTTCGGCATATTGTTGTTAATTAGCGAAAGAGATACTGTTGTATCTCCGCGGCAATCTCGCGGAGGACATTATTAAAGGATGAGGCTGGACTCGAGCGAGGATCCGTCGATCCTCCTTTCCTTTTCTTTCCTCCAATAGGAATGATCGAGATGCGACGCGTGTTCTTCTTTCCATAACATTATTGCGATATATCGTATAATTATGTGATTAATTAACTTTCTCATTTTCCACTCTTCCTGTGCAGGAATTATTCCAGATTGCGTGTGTAGTAATTCATTTTTGGCAACTCCTCCCTCTCTCTCTCTCTCTCTCTCTCTCTCTCTCTCTCTCTCTCTCTCTCTCTCTCTCTCGTTCGCTCGCGCCGAGCGCGAGTCCGCCAAGTTTGCGCACTAATTTCGTATAAATGCAAATAACCGATTACCCGGCGGTGTTTTTAATCAACCTTTCCGAGGAGTATCGCCAGCTTCCGCTTCCCCGAGCGTCTCCGGAAGGAAAGCGGCGCTTCTCTCTCCCGCTGGCCGAGCGGAGCCGTCGAGCGGCTCGATTAAATTACCATCGCGGAAAGAAAAACTGATCGCCGCGGTTGTGCACGCGTGCCTCGCGCCGCCGCCGCCGCCGGCATGCGTTCTCCACGTAATCGCGCGGCCAACCGAGTCAAACTTTGGCCGGGCTATTAAGTTCCAGTCCATTTCCGAGCTGAGCGACGAAACTCGAATGCGAGACCGCGGCGACGTCGCCGCGAGGAGCTGTGAGAAAACGCTCGCGGAAATTCGCAGCCACGGCGGCAATTCCTCATTGGAGCGGGCGATTGTCCTGGCTGAGAGAGAGAAAGAGAGAGAGAGAGAGAGAGAGAGAGAGAGAGAGAGAGAGATCGCCGTCTGTCCAGCGGGAATTATCGCAATGCCGAGAGGGAATCACTCCCCACCGAGAACGGCTTCTCGCGCAAATACACGCGCGTTCTCTTCGCCATCGGGAATTTTCGATTAATTATCGATGTTAACACAAGAGCCGGCCAGCCAAACGCGGCCTTTTTTACGAATCCCAATCGCTCGGCTGCGAAATAGCGAAAAGGCCGCGAAAAGGCCGCGAAGCAACGTACCCTGATACTTCCAATTACTAATGACAGCATTGCGGAAGTAAACGCGTCGCTGACGCAACAAACGTGCGCGCGTTTTTAACTGCGACTTTTTCGCAATCCCGCGTGAGAAAACGCAGCGCGCGCCCGCGGGAATTAATCGCCGCGCCGACGACGATGACGAGGACGCAAATGAGCGCCGCGATGCGCGGAAGAAGTCTACACGGACGTTCCTTTTGATGAACTGACGAATAATTCGCGTTACCTCCGCCCGCCAGCGTAATGACAGGTCTCTCTCTCTCTCTCTCTCTCTCTCTCTCTCTCTCTCTCTCTCTCTCTCTCTCTCTCTCTCTCTCTCTCTCACGGACTCTCTATCTTTCTCTTTCTCCCTGCATCTCACTGCATCTGTTGCACAACTTCACGGTGCCATCTACGGTGTGGTCTTAATTATGCTTTCGCAAGAAAAAATGACTCGAGGGGGAGGGGCGGAGAGACAGCGACACCGAACAAGGTAATTGTAACAACAACCATCTCGTGCCCCACGCAGTGAGCAATAATGTGAAAACGTCAAACGTGCACTCGCGACTTTTTCCGACCGTCGACTTTCCGGCTGGTTGGCTTCGCCGCTAGATCGGCGATCATGAAGAAAAGATGTCGGTGAAGAAAAAGAGAAAAATGGCTGGAATGGTTATGTTATGGCGATATTTTTTAAGACGCGTGTTGCGCACCGTGGAAATATCCAGACCCGCTTCGTGCGCCCCGCGGCGCACTTTCTCGAAACACGCAAGCAGGGGAGGGGAGACAACGAAGGTACGAAGAATGGACTGTCAACACGTCATGAGCGTCACACGTATGATTCAGGTTGATCATTTCAATTATTACATTCGCTTGCATTCGCCGGCTCGTCTCATTGGCTGGCTGTGTATTTAATTTTTTCTACGCAGTTGATTATCAGACGACTTTGTATTAGGGCTTTCAGCTGTGTACAATCTAATAATTAAGTTAATAATAATTAAATTAATATGTAACCGTATGTAATAGGCACGTGTTTTCTTCAACGCACAACGTGCGTGAGTATATTTTGCGCGTAAATTGCTGACGCCATGACGGTCGACGGTGTTAATTGAGTTGCAAAATCAGGCGACCCCGATGGATGCGCGACGCTGCGCTCGCCCGTATCCTTACGTCACTTACTTTCAACAACGTAAATGCGAAAGAAAACAGTATTTGCGGCGTCGATTATTGCGCATCTAAGATTTCCACTCATCTTTTCAGAGAGAGAGAGAGAGAGAGAGAGAGAGAGAGAGAGAAAGAGGAGAGAAGAGAGAGGACGCAGCCTGGAGATGGAGATTCTACCCTCCGCGCGTTTCCAGCTTTTTTCCGAGCGACCTCCCGGACGGATGCGGCCCTGGTGGTATCGGTGGTTGCGGCTACGCGTAAAACGTAGAAGGTAATGCCCGAGTACCGAGAGAGGTTCGTGCTCCCTTCATGCAAGTCGGTGAAAGTCGCTTCGAATCGGACCGACTTGGCGGCGGCGGGTTATCCCCACCGGCTGGGAGATCGAGCGTTCGCGTTAATGTCGTTTTCCCATAGAACCTGTGCCCCCCCCTCCCCCTGCTCACCCCATCCCAACCGCTCTTCAACCCCTCTCTCTCTCTCTCTCTCTATCTATCTATCTATCTATCTATCTATCTATCTATCTATCTTTCTTTCTCTCCCTTTACGGCGCACCTCCGGAGGAGCTCCTCCGAGAGCGACTCTCCGCGAAAATTCTTCGCGCGTTTCCGGAGAACGCAACGCGGCACGAGCTATCGACAGGTTCAGCGCGTGTCTGTGCGCCTTCTGTGCGTCCCTTCTCTGTGCTACCAGCTTCCACGCGCTTCCGGCATTCCAGCGAAGGCTGCTGAGCGCGCTTTCGGGTTCTCGCGGGATAAGCTCTCGGGGCTAATTAACTCGCGCGCACGATGTTCATTACGGCCCATCGTTTAGCGATAATTAACGTTGATCCTCTTTTCATAACGGTGCGTTCGGTACGCTGCCTACCGTCGATGGATATCGCGCGGTAGTTTTCACATTCCATTCGGCGGCCGGCGGCGTGCGTGTGTATTTCGGAACCACGAGGGAGAAAGTATTCCGGGCTTCTCTCTCTCTCTCTCTCTCTCTCTCTCTATCGAGCGAGACTCGGATCTCTTTTTTACCGATATAAATTGATATCTGATTTGATGTTACGTAAGCGCGAATCACAGCGCTCCCTGATATTCGAGGCACGAGGTGCCTCGCGGCTGTAATTTTCGTGGACGGATTAACATTTAGATTTATGATTTTTCTTGTCGAGCGCCGCATTACTCCGTAAGAGAGGCTGGATATTCCGGTAATTCGTCTCTCCCGTTCTCCGTAACGCGATCTCTAAATTATATCCCTAACCGTTCATCACATACAGTTAAATATTCACTTATTATTTTAACGCGGATATTTAAAAATATATAAACACGAATGAAAACTTCCAAACACAAAGATGAATTGAAGTCCGCGAAATTCGAGTCTCGTCCGAGGAAGATGAAGAAGACCACCCCCCCGCCCCCCGGTCGAGCATCTATCGCGCGATCGCGATCTCCGGCAGGATCAGGACACTTACCTCGGGGCATGCCGCACGGCGGCGGAGTCCTGGCGTTGTCCAGGAAGTCCAGGTCGTACTGCCTCGCCCGCGGGAACGTGAGCGCCACATGAGCGCGCGTCGTTCTCCAGGACAGCGTCGTCAGCAACAGCAGCAGCAGCAGCGCGAAGGACGACGCGAGCGTCGGTCGAACCGCTCGTCGCATCGACATCCTTCTTCCGCGGGCGCGTTCCTCCACGATAAGAGCCAGGCAGTCTCGGAAAGAAAGGACGACGTCCCTCAGCACGCGCTTCCGCCTTTTCCACCGCCGCTGCTTTTTCCTCTCGCGCTCCTGAAGCCCTCCTGCTGAGTCCTCCTGCCGTCGCCCGGCATGGGCGTCCACTCGCTCCGCGCCGCGGCCGATCTGAAAGTCGATCGAGCGATGAACTTTGTTATTTACGGCGGCCGATCCTCGATCTCGAGCGCCGCTCACGGCCCCGCGCGTGTTTTCCTCTCGAAGGATCGCTGCGCGGTGCGTTCCTCGTGTCAAACCGGAGTAAAACTCGCTCCCCTCCCCCCCCCCTCCGGCGTGAAATTCGTGCTGCGAGGACGAGTCGACGAAAGGCGATTACGAGGGGTGATTGAGGGGTCTGGATGGAGAATAATGAAGGAATAAGTGTTCCTCGCCGATTCTCAGCGGCTTGGAATAGAACGATGAAAGGGAAAAGAGTTTATCTTCGTGCAGCCTTTCGGACGTACTTTGGCGCACGTTTCGGGACGTTTTGGGCTTTCCTCCGCGGGAAGTCAGGACAGAAGCAGAATTGCCGAATGGGCGAATGTTTCGGGGACACACGTTATTACGGCGCGAAGCGCTTTTGTGATATTCGATGCTCTTTGTAGTCTGATAGATCTTTGATATGCGGGACTGCTGACGTGAGACTTAACAACTTGATATCTCTGCGCGATATCAATTTTTATCGTCCCGAACTCGGATTTCATAGATCCCAAGGGCCCCTCAATCTGCGTCAAGACTCACCCTCCGTCATCCCTCTTGAAGGCGGGGTAGTTTAAAGTTTCAAATCGGTAAACTTTAACAGACGCGATGACGTCGCTATCGATCTGACCTTCTTTAGCGTCGCTTCTCGAGACAGAAATATATTTGCTCCGTGATTCACGGACAATTCGCGGGGAAATTCCGGTTAAAAGAATACGCGCGTTATGCGCGCGAAGCGAAAGTGTGCGTCGGAGCTCTCCGACGACCCAGTTGTTGAACTTCTTACGCGAGCTTCCATCCTCTACATCATTTGTCGACGCTTCTCAAACTTTATTTCTCCTCTCGCAAAACGGTTCTACGGGATTGCTTCACTCTCGTCTCGCACACGCTTCAATTACGGCGACTCTCTCGATCGCATAATCTTCCCTTAGAAGCGCGGAACGCTGAGAGCAGCGAAAGTTTCTATTCTTCTCACGGCGAGAGATGAAAAGTGGGAATTTTCGCGTGGGAATCCGCCGAAATTTCGCGGCCGAAGACCGGCGTTTTCGCCGCGCGGACGTGAGAGAGAGAGAGAGAGAGTGCCGTCGTCGCACGTGGTCCTCCCTGGGAGGACCCGAGATTCTCGCGAAAGGACGAAGGGTGAAAACCGATGGATGAAAATAATCGCCTGCAGTCGCACGATCGGCTGTATCTGAGCGCGTTAATCGGCGGGGGAGCGCGGGGGAGCGCGTGGGAAATGCCGTGTGCGAAGGAGGAGGAGAATTTCCTCGCCTCGTGCGGGGAAATTCTCCTCTACGGGAAGAAGTCGCGCGGCGGAGTGCTGTAACCTTGCGGTAACTCCGCTTGACTCGCACTTGCGCAACGCGCCTCCACCTGCGACATTTAACGCGTTAATTCGCGGAGAGTTGCATCCGTCGCTGTTATCCCCGGATAAAGGAAGGCTGCGACGAGCGGTTCTCGTCGCTCGTCGCTCAGATGTCCTTCCCCGGTGAAATCGGGTCTCAGACGTGCAAAAGCGGCGGAGAATAAGAACAAAACAGTCGAGTGTATTTTTTCCGGGAAAACCGACATTTTCCTCTCCGTGTTTCATTCTTTTTTCTCCTTCCCACTTTTTTTCCCACCAATTTTTGTCCCCCACTTTTTGATTTTGATTTTTTCTTATTTTATTTCGTTAACCCCTTCACTGTTAGTGGGGAAGTATACTTTTCACCTCTTCTTGCGTTCAATTTTGCGTTGGAAATCACATAATTTTGAAGGACTAATCGGGGATTTGTTTTCCACATATAACTGAATAGTTGTTCAACATACTCCAATAGGTTTTTATACCCAATTATTTATTTGTGATTACTTATAACAAATTAAAGTTGAAAAAAATGCTTCTCTTAGGGAAAAATCGATCCCTCGGAGAGTATTGAATGTAGAGGTCTGAAATTTTCACCAAATATTTTTCCGATGTTGTACAAAAACACATATACTTTTTTCAGTATTTTTTTAGCAGGTTAGATTTTTTTTTATAAACAAATATTTCTACAAAAACGGCCGAAATCTGACTTATTAATTCTATTTTCCTAGTTTTTTTTCATTCTCTGTATCTCCATCTCTTATCCATACTATCAATATTATTTTACTCAAATATGAATGCTTAATCTCTAGTAAGCATAAATATGCAGTATTGAACATTTTCCCACATAAATTTTTTCCAGCTCGATCGAATTCCATCGTCTAGAATCATATGTTCTTATTACGACCTGGTCATTACTTAATAATAATTGGAATTTTCATTAAATTTGTACATCATGATCGCCGTATTAGTCCGCCATTTTGAATTTCGCAAATCTGACTTTAGATTCGTAATCAGCGACCCGAAAAGCGTAGGGCTGCCAAATATTTTAATAATTTTCTCAAGGAAAGTCAATTCAGCGGTGAAAGGGTTAACTAACGTAACAATTCACCGATGTATTCGCGTCCACGCGCACACACACGTTCGCCAACGCTAATTTATTAATATATTATCGTCGCCGATGCTCTCCGGCGCGTCCGTTAATCGCCGGTGACGTGCATCGACATATCGGACGCGGGAACGTAATAATTGCAGAATAAACACGTAACGGGTCTTCAGAAGAAGAGCCTGACGTACTCGCTCGGCGAGACGGTACAGGCGGGTGGATGGGTGGAGGAGAAGGCAGACGAGGAGGAGGAGGAGGAGGAGGAGAGAAGAGCGGTGTACTTTTCCTCGGCCTGTTATCGATCCCCGCGATCGTAACCGGCGCGAATGCGAGCCGCGGATCTCGCGGATCGCATAATTCGAAGGATACCGCGTCTGATGCGCGACCTCCTTGCCACCTCCGCGTCGTTTCCGTCGGCGGGGTAGAAGGACAACGTGGAAAGGAGCGCTCGCGCAGCGAGCGGCCCTTCCTCGCGGATAAGCGAAGGGGAGAAGAGAGACTCGCAGTGCGACTCGCATCGCACGAAAAGTGTCGCACAATAAGATTATGAAATATCGCGGTGCACGAGTCGTCCTTTTTTGCCCTCCCCCCCCTCTCTCTCTCTCTCTCCTCTCTCTTCCTTCTTTCGTTTTTGTCATCGATTCACGGCGCTTTTTGCGAGAAGCAGCGCATCGCGTCATCTTCGAACGGACGCGATGACTGGCACGAATTTTGCTGGTTACGCTCTTCCGAATCTTCTGAATGGAGAGAATTCTCCGATTATGGAGGCACGGCCGAGAGCCTTTATTATTGACCGAGCCTTTTCACCGGGAATCTTTCCTCCGAATTTTCTCGAAATCGCAGGATAATACGGGGCGATTTCACGCTTGCGATCTTCCGGAGAAATCCGCTCGGAAGAATCTCGCGGGGAATAATGTCGATTAAAGCCGTGCAGCAGGCAGCAGTGTTGCGCGATCAATCGAGACCAAAGCGAATCAATGAGCGATATTGTTCAGTCGTCACGTGTGTAATCCTGATTGTTTTAGTCGACTAACCGAGCTAACTGGCGTAACTGCAACGATCATTACGTCTGCAATCACAATTTAATTTCGCTCATTTCGGTGGACCGAAATTTATCGACCGACTAATTAGCCAACGTTGCGCTACGGAGACAGGCCGTTCCACACCGTGTGGACCGTAATAAGACCGAGAGCGCAACGGAAAAGAGAAAAAGAAGGAGGAACAGGGGGAGGAATTTAAGTTTCCGATCACGGAACGAGGAGCAACGGAGATCCAATTTCGTAACGCGAATTCCTACGGACTCACTTATTTCTTGCGCGCGCGCGCGGTTACAAGCGCGCTGCACTTTCCATCGCGTGTATTATTTAGCGTGCATGGCGCGCTCATGAGTCATCGGAGCCAAGACACCGGCGCGGCGGAGGAACGTGCGTGTGTCCGGATCGGCGGCGAACAATGGGCGCGCGCTGCAGCCGCAGGTAATTATCTCGTCGTTAGCTCTGAACCGCCTTTTTCATCACTCCATGCGAGTCGCGGACGTGAGAAGCGGCCCCGCTGCTTGCGGTAACCGACCGCGAGGCCTCCCGAAAAAATACACTCGATGATACTCGAGTGTCGAGTGTGCCTTTCTATTAGTCCGCTATCGATTAGCCACCATTGTCGCAAGGGCGATATCGCGCGACGCGAATGAATGAGGACGCCTGACGTCGAGGACGTTTCGTTTCGTTCTTGAGACTGAGAAAATGCTCTCAGCAGTGTGCTCGAACATCCCGCCCTAAAAGAAATGATATTACTCGACACCGACACGTCTTCGCGTGACTCTTTCATTGGTCAAGATTAATTGATTAATTAAAAATAAAATTAATTCAATTTTATCAGTCTATCGTTCAGTTTTGCTCATATCTGTTTCAATTTTTTATTCAATTTTTTCACTTATGCATTTTATTATACTTATGTTCTTAATAATAATAAGTATTAATAACAAATATTATAAATACAAGCAAACAAGTATAATTGAATATGTGAATATCTGAAATAGCACGAATATTAAAATATAAAGATAGCGAAAAATCAAGAATAAGTATAACAAATGAAATTGTTACGCTTATTGTACTCGATATTTCATTCAATTTTGATCAATTAATTCAATGAGATCAAAATGGTCTCCCACTGATGATATTGGACCCTTAATACAATTTCATCTAGTTCATTTCGTTTCTTGCGCGCGATAATTGCGGAGTGTCGCGTAACGTTCTCGTCGTCGACAGACACCAATTGTTCTCCGCCGACAATTCATTGAATTCAAGCGGTTCGACAGGGACGGGGAGGGGGGCGGCTTACGACGACGCGGTGGCACCTTGCGCGTCAAAGTGGCCGATAAGCGAAGGGTGCGTTTGCGAGGGAACGTTCTATCTCGCGCGGCGTGTCACGCGATTGCAGTCAAACGGCGTGAAAATCTCGCGGATTGGAACCACCTGCTGGAGATCCGCGGGAATAAAAGCGCGAAGACACGAATACGCCGTCTCGCGACGTCTCGTTCGCACGGGGACCGTTCCCGAGAACGGATGACACATCCGGACGACGTCGATGGCGATGAACGACTCCATTCAGGCATCGGATTTCCACGTGGGAAGCCACTCGGGAGGAACATACACGCACAACACGCGGCATTGTTTCCCAAACCCAAGGCGTGAGTGTATTTCAAGGAAGACGCGATGATGTTTAATTGGCGGAAAGGGATAGAGGAGAAGACGCGCGCGCGCGCGCGCGTAAAAGGTAATTGCGCGTCTCTCGCGTCGCATGCGTTGAGTCCTCGCGTGGAATTTTCGCCGAGGACGCTGGGAAAGCACGAGGAATTCCGTGATAGCGAAGGATACTTAATTGCGCGTCAACTGCAGCAGGAGATTAACATCGTTGTAGCTCATTCGCAGATTCTCGCATTAATCGTGGAGTGGATTGAGTCTGTATTGGATCCCGCTTTGACAAGATGGAAGGAAGATCTCAATAATGTGTGTAATTAGTAGGAAAAAAATTGATTTAAAAATTTATGAATTATTGTAAATTTATTTACAGTCAGATATCTGATTGTAACCAACCGGAGAGCAGCTTTTTTCAAGCAAGTTTTCACATCAACCTACATGTGTACGAAACCTACACTGAATTCTTCTTCGAGGAAACGGACGAGCGAGAAGATTGACCGACAGCGTCGAGTAACGGAGAAAGGTAAAAAAAAATAAAAAGGAGAATAATGTAAAAATAAAAATAAAAATAAATAAATAAATAATAATAATAAAATAAAACATAAAATAAAATCATAAAAAATAATAATAATAACAAAATAATAATAAAATAAATAAAATAAAAATAGGAGAAAATAAATTGACAACACGTAAATTTACAAAATTCCGAATATAAGAAGGAGGCTGCTTAAAAAAACTGAAGGTCTCCGGATAACCAAATTATCAAAAAAGGACACTGTCAACTCAACTGAACAGGTCTGCGTTGTCACTTGGGGCGAGCGGGAATCTCTTCGAGCAGAGGAGCGTCGGTTCCCGCCGCGGCGGCTCAGCTCGCGACGGTGTGAGAAGTAAATACGCAAAAGTAGCAGCTATTACCGGGTCGTCCGAAGCGGAACAGCACGCGAGAGAAGCCCGAGTTATAACCGATTTCGCGTGTCCGAGAAACGGACGGTCGTATTTAGCGGCGAAGCCGACGCGAATAATTGATGAATCGCATTGATCAAGACGATCAGACCGCAGTGATCGATGGGGAAAGAGCGGGGAAATGCATACTCGGCGAGGCGCGTGAATCTCTCCTTCTCTTCTTCGCCTTACACCTCACGCGGAGTGTCTTTAATCACGCGAGTCATTATTTATCGCCGATACGGATGCACCTACCCTGACGCTGATTACCGTACAATCAAGCAGGAAGCAGGATCAGTCCGCCGATATTGAATATTGCAACGATCGCACGTGGAAGGATAGCTTATGGACTGCTTATGAACTTTGATATTTGCGGCTCTCGTTTGCGGCCCGTACAAAATAATTCCGCGAACGACCGCGAACACAAGAACGCGTTTCAAAACACGCGTGACGAAGCCGCGCGACTCCGATTAGTCGCGAAAAATTCCCGATCTCTTAGCCAGCCGGCTGGTATTGGAGAGGATGAGCGACTTTGGCAGGAACTCAAGGACTCGATCCATTTTGAAACGTTTCAGCCTCGGTCACGGGACACGCAGCTATTCTCCTGATTCCGTATGGGAAACCGGCGAGACTCGAAGAGATGCGTCAGTGAAGAAGTGACGAGAAAGATGTAGAAATAAGAAAGAGATAAAAATATAATAATCAGTAATATGAAGAAACGGAAAAGGGAAAAGATAATAAAAAATTTGTACAGGAAAGAGCACACGCGTGAAAAACAAGAATTAGCGACGCGAGAAAAGGTAACGAGACGAGCGAGAGAGATGGCAAACTCGCGCGAGGGGAAAAGAAAATAAATTTGGAATTTGGAGTCGCGAAGGGAGTTGCCCTCGGAAGTCGAGACGGAGCCTGGAGAGGAAGGTGAAGAAGCCGCGCCATTGTCCGCTCCGAGGGCTGCCTTCCGAATGTTGCACGCTGTTGATCGTTCTCATTGATACATCAGGCCGCGTGCATGGACAGCGTAAACGCGCGGCGCAGGAGCGGCGGTAAGAGCGAAAAGGAAAGGTGGGAGATTAAGACCGCAACGTACGTGGAACGGTTCTCCTTCGGTACCTGGAAAGCTACCTGGCATTCCAGCGAACGACGATGCCGTTGATCTCGTTGACTTCCCGTTCTCACTGACACATCCAGCGCGAGCTTAACGCGCGAGAATTCGCCGGCGAGACAGCTGGAGCGTGGAGGAGGAGGAGGAGGAAGGGGTGACGCGGAAGTCGACACCGGAAGTCGACGATGGCGGGTGTCTCTCGGCTGGCCGGTCTAGTCGCGAGACGGCTGCGATTTCGGCGCTTCGCGCTCATTGTCCGCCGACGAATCGACCTCACACGAGACTTTCCGCGAGTTCGCACGACGCTTTTTTTCTCGCAGTTGTCTGCCACGTCGCAGAGTAGTGCGACAGTCGGGGAGTTCCGACGCGACGCGTTGGGTAACGAGACAATCGGCGAGGCTCGACGACGCTTCAGCAGTCCTGCGCGGAATTTATATTTTGCAACACCAAGCGGGCCACACATCGATTGCTAACAAATATTCGCCACGCGGAAATAATCGCGCGCGAAATGGAGTCGATGAGCAAAAGAAAGAAAGAAAAGAAAATCGGAGGAGAAAAGGGAGAGAAAAACAGAAGGAAAAATCGTAAACCGGGAAGCTCCGGGGAAAATAAAATCGACCATCGGGGAGACCATCGTAAGCAATCGTACAGCTCCAGCGAGTAGTTTCTTCGGTGAGAATAAAATAAAAAGAAAACAAACTTGGGCGAGGTGAAACGAACAGCATGAAGCATACAACGATCCTTGCACAGTCGCAAGTCGAAGAACAGTTCGCCGCAGCGACATCTCGCAGTTGTCCGCTGCTGTCAGTAATTTTCCACGTGAGGCTCGACCTTACTTGCGGGAAGCTCGACGAGCACGAGCGCGAGAGGCGAATATTTGCGATTAACAGCCTGAGCAAGGCTACGCCCGATATTCTCGCGAGGATATTTCTCATTCAACCGCCCACCGGCGTGCGTGTCCCTTGTACCTCATCGCGGGGCGAGCTGCGGGGCTCGCCTGGACGAAAAGAAGAAGAAGAAGAAGAAGAACAAAACTACAGAGACTCGAGCAGACTCCGCGACGCCGATTGACGATTACACGGCCTGCGCTATCGAATAATTCGACGACATTCTTCGAGCGGCCTTGGCCGGTCGGTCGGGCGTTTCTGTCGATCGCGCTCGTTTGCACCTCGTACTCGGCGGGCCGGCAGTCGCGATGTTATCTCGCGAATGCGAGAGGAGAAGGAGGCGGCACACACACACACACACACACACACACACACACACACACACACACAGCACGACGAGAAAGGAGGAGACGGCGGCGGCCACGGCGATTGCGAGGGGAATCGCTCGACGTTTATGGAGAACGCTGCTCCGCCGATGTATTATGGAAAGCGAGCTGGCATTCCAGCAAGCGTCGTCGAACTCATTAACATCCCGTGCGCGTCGCCGCCGCCGCCGACGCGACTTTATTTTCCCTCGAAATAAACAAACCCGCGCCAGTACGGCGGAGAGTCGCCGGGTTAGCTTTCGAAACGCAACAATCTGCACGGGCGTGCAACGACAGAAGTTGGTATAGCGTGCTTTGTAAAAATAGATCTCCCTCGAAAAATACGTGAGTGGGTCTGGGATAAATTATCCGGACTGTCTGGACTGCGTCCAGACTGGAATCCGGGGCGAGCACGGGGTCCGACAACACAGAGAACGGTTTGTTATTTCGCGACGGTCATTGTTAATTCGGCGACTTTGACGACACGACCGTCGTCCTGCGCCCTCGCTACCTTCGATAAATCGATCCCGCGGGATGCTCCTCTCCGCCTGCCGGATAGGTGGATGACTTAAGGATCTTAAGGATGCGCTGCGATCGATGAGCGAATTATCGGGTCGTTTGTACCGCGAAGACAACCGTGTCTTGAAATTCGTCGCTGGACTCGCGACGGCGCGAATTTTTATTCGCGTATTCGCGGGAACTCGAGAACGCGCTTGTGCCTTCGTAATCGCGGAAAATGGCGCGTGATGTATCAATCTTGCTCAAGAGAGCTGAAAGCCAATTTCCGACTTCGGTATCTTCGCGCGTTGAATTTCACGCGAACACCCCCGCGGAGGGGGGAGGGGTTGACTGCTACTCTCAGACTCGGGCGAACATCGAGGATGAGATTCGCTCCGGGAAAAGGGACGAGAGGGAAGGAAGGACTCTAGCAAGTTGCAAGAACGAGACAAGAGGCGTGAATTCGCGACGTTTCGTAACGTCGCGTCGTCCCGAGTGGAGTGACACTCCAGTCTCGTTGCGTCCACTCCACTTTCGTCATGTACGACGGGTCTCGGCGGCATGTTCCCCCGAGAGAACGCGAGTCCGGAAAGTAACCGATGTTATCGCACGGCAGGACTTTTCATTCAGCAGCGTTTCATCGTCGCGAGAATTACTCACGACACGAAGCGAGCGAGCGCGAGTCCTTGAGGCGTGCGCGAAGAGCGGCAACTCAGGCTAAAGCTCAGAGAGCCAAGTTACCTGGCTCGCTTGCCGCTTCGTCGACGGCGGGCGGCACTCCTGCGCAGCCGGGGCTCCTATCCGAGGCGTCCACGTGCCGACGTCATCGTCGGGGACGAAACCCTCGCGAGAGAACGGCGAGTTTCGGCTGGACACTGACCGAGGAGATGACGCTTCGTCGTCGGAGTACCCTCTCGCTCAGCACGCGGCCATCTTCGCGATGACCGACCGGATGTTTGCGTTACACGACCGCGAAGAGCGAGAGAGAGAGAGAGAAAAAGAGACGGCCGTTGTCGCGGAGGCGCGTGATCGGCAGGCAAAAGAACACACTCTGCAGCAACGACGACAGCAGCAACGAGAATGCAAGCACCGCGCGGCGCCACGGAACCGCGCAAGCGACTGACGACGTTCGCTCCGGCCGATCCGCTTCTACTCGCCTCTGTTGAGCTCGGCGGCGGCCGAGCGAGCGAGCGAGCGAACGTACGAATTGCCGAACGAGCGAGCGAGCGCCACGAGCGAAAACTCACTTTGCGCTCACCTCCACTTCACCCGGTTCCCACCTTCGCCGAAGACTCGCTCGCCTGCTTTCTTACCTGGCCGCTCGACCCCTCTCTCGCCGCTCTACCTCTGTCCTCAGCTCGCTCGCTCGCTCGCTCGCTCGCTCGCGAGGATACTTGCCTTCCCTACGAATCCGAGTGAGCGGGCGACTGAGAGAGAGAGAGAGAGAGAGAGAGAGAGAGAGAGAGAGAGGGGGTAAGAGAAAGAGGGAATGATTCATTTATTACAGCGCCCCGCGCGGGATGGAATTCCTTAAAGCGCAGGAGCCGCAAATAATACATATATAGACATGCAATAAAAGAAGAGACATAAAAAAGCAAGGAGAAAAGAAAAGCAGAGCAGCGCGGGAATGGAAAAGCAAGAGAGAGAGAGAGCGAGAGAGAGAGAGAGAGAGAGAGCGCGGTTCGGCTCGAGGACTCTGCGGGGATGAATTACGCGGGGCCGAGCGAGGAGTACCCTGCGTCGTCGAGCGTACGGCGAGAAGAGGAGAGGAGAGGAGAGGAGAGGAGAGGTACTCGCTGCCTCAGCTGCACTTCAAGCGCGTGTCGTTCGCCGGCGACCAAAACAACAAGTGCCTCGGCCGGCCGTGGATTTAGCAGCGTGCAATCTCGATTCTTTCTCAGGAACGCGTACGCGATGATGAATCATGCAGGCCGATGGAGCAAGTGCCTTTGATAGGGAAGAAAAGATCGAATGAAAGGACGACCGATTCGAAGCGGAGACGCGAAGCGAAAGCGTGTGTCATGCTGCACGCGAATGAAGAGGTGCGCGACGAACGGAAAGGAATAGCCGAGGTTCCGCGGGAATATGAGGCGCGCGGGAAAAATGACTTTGTTAGCGAGTTTTGTAATTGAATGTTTTACCGGCTCGCGGCTGAGCCAGAACTCAGCCGGGGGAAGGCGGAGAGATCCTTCGCGCGCGGCCACCGCATGAGCAGCTTCCGATGGAATTTCGATTCCGATACCGACTCGCCGGGCGATTTTCCTACACTGATAGAAAGATATAGTTGAATTAACTATAATCTCACTATATTTTGTAGTTCATTCTGGCGACAACCATATTTTTATAGTTGGTGGAATCTGCAAAATATAGTAGAATAAGCACAAATATATAGTCAATGATTGTCTTAAATAATTGTTTAGTTACTTTACTTTTACCACATATATACATGGTAATTTGTCATTCACAAATATAGTGAGATTTAATATTCGTATAGTTACATCTATCATCATTTGGCAAATATTCTGGTAATATTGGCTATATATAAAAGAGTTACTTTACCTATCATTTTATATTTGTATCCATACAATAATTTTAGTTTAACTTACTATAATTCTTAGTAAAAATATATTATATGATTTGTTATATTATGCCTATATCGTAATTATTACCGATATTATGGTAATACTTACTATAAATATGATATTTCGGACTATAATTTAGTTACTATATCATTATAGTTCCAAGTATCATATACTTTTCTCTCAATGTAGCACGTGTGACGCGAGAAGTGGCCGACAAGACGCGATCTGGCGCAACCGGCGGCATTGCCGGGACCGATCTCTGCTCGCGCATACTATACAAATATCCTAGACCCGATTCCAGATGAATCACAAGTAAGGTAAATGTCCCAATAACCGGACGTTCAAGCGTAGATCGTCACAAGAAATGCAATATATAATACTACACTGAGAGAAAAATATATGATATTCGGAACAGTAATGGATATTATAGTAACCAAATTATAGTCCGAAATATCATATTTATCGTAAATATTATATCGGTATCGGTAATAATTACGATATAGGCATAGTATAACCAACCATGTAATATTTTTATCAAGAACAGTGGTAAGTTAAATTAAAATTATTGTATGGATACAAATATAAAATGGTAGGTAAAGTAACTCTTTTATATAGTCAATATTACCAGAATATTTGCTAAGTGACGACGACAGATGTAACTATATGAATATTAAATCTCACTATATTTGAGTGAATGAGAAATTACCATATATATGTGATAAAAGTAACTAAACAATTATTCAAGACAATCATTGACTATATATTTGTGTTTATTCTACTATACTTTGCAGGTTCCACGAACTATAAAAATATAGTTGACGCCAGAATGAACTATAAAATATAGTGAGATTATAGTTGATTCAATTCTATATTTTTCCATCAGTGTAAGAATAGTTTCGATACAAAAATATTTGCATCCATTCGAAAACTTAAGATTTCCTTAAGCAGGGAAGAATGATTAAACCAGTGTATACATCTACTATTAATGAATTCATTTGCACAAGTAATGAAGCGCACTTAATGTGTACCAGCGACCGGACAGTTGACACAGATTATGGCCCAGTGTTCGGATATAATCAGTGTCTGACTGCGATTGAAAAATTAGTATGTATGTGCCGACGGGAAGTAACATAAATATAGACGCTATCTCTTAATGAATTGATTAACGATTGATTATTATTTGGCCAAACCATAGGGGGGTACATGCTTATTTAATTAATTTTTATTTTCATACAAAAGTATCAGATTGGATATATCTTTTTCCAATTAATCGTCGAATATTGGAGCTCTTTTTCACAATAGTTATTACTCTCATTCGTTATTGTTGAAATAAATTTCTTTCTCCAATGTGAACGTCGGATACACTGGGACGTGTCCCAGCCATTGGGACGTTTACTTTACGTGAGAAACGACCGGGACTCGCTTTTCGTAATACGCGCGCGCACGCGCGCGCACATCGACGCGGCGAGAAGAATTATCATAAATAAATAGCCATTGTGTGCCCGCTTGCGCACGCACGTGCGACAAGTTCTCCTCTCGCTGACGTAAGCGGTCGAGTGCATTACTCAGCGAGGGACTGACACGAAATAACACAGAACGCGCGCGACGAGCCGGCTGGGGTGTCAATACGAGCCGCGAGTGTAATGACGGTTTTTCTCTTATTAATATTTATACAGAGAAATTGAGTTCCTTTCTACGGACGCTTCCTGTATTGACGTACGCCCGCGATGGCACGTGCTTGTGAAAACATTTTGTGTGCCGTGCGTGCGTGTGTGTGTGTGTGTGCGCGCGCGCACGTAACGCGTTCACAGGAAACCGAGAGCGCAAACATTTTACTCGCGAATTATATCCGCGCGCGGCGAGACAATCCGCGGACGAATGGAAAACGCGAATGCACCCGCGGCATTCCACTTCCGCGAGCCGAATCACCTTGAGACGGTACGTTGGGCGCGGATAAAAAAAAATCGCGTTACGCAATCGATCGTCGCAGATTTCAGACGGGCGAGTGTTCCCCTCGCGTTGTTACGTCAGCGAATTACGCCAGGTTGCATTCACGTGCACGCCTCCGAGAAATTTCGGCATCGAGATCGAGGCGATGCTAGGATGGACCCCTCCGGCGCAAAGTTGCTACGTTACGTGTTAATCGTCATACCGGTCGAAATCATGCCGGTGAATTCGCGCGACGCGGGGGAAGCATTTCGTTGTAACAGAATTTTCCATTGCCCGCCGCGCACCAAATGCCGAAAACTCGTTTGGAGGAATAGGAAGATATCTCCGCTCGGCCAATGGCCGCCCCGTGGCTTTGCGTTTTACTCGAAACTCGTTACTCGCCCGATAAGACACGTGAAATTTAGACGATAACGCACAGCGTAAACCGATGTCAACAGCTTTATTACCAAGAAACTGACCCGATCGCGACAAAGTGGGACACCGTGACGCTAATTGAGGCATTCACGATTATCTCAGCCGAGTTTCAACGCGGCTGACAGCCGGACGAACGTCCTCGTGCCTCGTCTCCGAGTTTGGTCGCCCGCCCCCCTCCCCCCCTCCTGAGTTACACGAACCGAGATTCTCGTTCCACGTACACAATCGGCCGGCCAGGGCTAGTATACTTAAAAAATGTCGCATATGATTTTTCATGAATGTTCCCAGATATCGTGATTCTCAGCCAATTAAATTGCTCCATCGATGAAATATCGTGTACGATATTTTTCATAAATTTTCGAGATTAAGGCGACTGGAGGGTCAGATTACTGCAAAATCGTGCTTGTTTTCGATAATGATTTTGCGACGAACTGAATAAATGTGCAAGAATGAAAATTTTAGATATATTTATATAATATATGAAGAGTAGAAAAATGTTGTTTATTAACAAATATTCATATAAATATACGTTCACTTAAATTTTAAACGCGTTTTTCTCGAAATTTTATTGTTCAACTTTTCGCAATGACTTCTCCGAAACTGAGCTTCGTATCGATTTGAAATTTTAAAGCAATAACATTTGTTCATCTGGATCTCTCAGATAAATATTTCATTTCGAGATATTAATTTTTTTATTGTAAAAGAACTGAAAAATTTGGATTTTTTCCTAATAATAGCTGCCACTTTGTTAATTTTGTTCGATTTTTTTTTTTCTAGTGGTTCACCGGCAATGACAAGCCCCCTCAAGATTTCTAGCTAAAATTCGCTCTGATCGGGCCATCGAGAGCCGAGATATTACTGCGAAAGCGACAACTTGAAAAAAAAAGGAGAGTACATTTCAGCTATATATATCGTATATTTATACGAGTATTTGTTAATAAACAAAATTTTTCTACTCTTCATGTATTGTATAAATATACCTAAAATTTTCATTCTTGCACATTTATTCAGTCCGTCGCAAAATATTCACAAAAACAAGCGCGATTTTTCAGCAATCTGACTCTCCAGTCCCCTTAAGGGCTCAGCTCCGGTCTGTTATTCCGGCCGAGAATAACAGAGGCGCGCACCTCCGCGGAGCTCGGCGCGTTGGCCGCTCGCGGCGTTTCCCCGCGAGTAAGCGAATTTTTCGAGCCTGGCTTTCATTGATCAGCCGTGGTGTAGTCGAGAGATCGGTATGAGCTCGAGAGGCGGTTTACGCGAATCCCGCGCGAACGGGATGCAAAACGGTCGCTCGTGACGTCGCCGAGTCTCGCGACGACACCGACGTTGTCGTCGTGGTCTCTCCGCGGTTTCGCAGCGGCGGCGGCGGCGGCGGCGCCGAGGAATGTCGTGAGGCCGATACATGCATAAATCGCCCACGTGACCGCGGCCGTTTAGCGGTATCCTGGGCCCAATATCGTTATCCAATTAGACGGGCGATCGGGCCGCGGCGCACGCAGGTGCACGCAGGTGCGCCCGCTCGTATTTTCCTGCGCACCGCAGCACGCCAGGAGGTCGGAATGGAAAGTGGGCAGAGGGACGACGACGGTGTGTTCTCCCGTACGCGC